TCTGTTGCTGCTGTAGCACCTGCAAAATGCAGTGCTGCTCTTCCTGAGAAACCCTGCTATTTCTAATACAGAGCAAACCCTCCCCAAAGAGCAGGACTGAATGAAAGGACATGCTTATATTACTGCTCTGAAGTACTGCTGTATTGCTCACATCGCTCTGCTGCTGCATGCACCAGGATAGGCAAATTTGGGGTACCTTTCATCTGAGATGTTCTGGACATGTTCACGTCAGTGGTGAAATGGAATTAAGTTTACCCCTCCCGAGCTCCTGATATCTGAGCATGCCCTTTGGATTTGCCTTCAGTTCAGCATACAGTTAACCTCTTTTCATTCCAATTAGCTGAAAACTAAGGATTTCCTTCCTTCTGTTTTGAACTGATATGTAAGAGGAAATCCGTAGCTGTTCCTGTTTTGAGTAAACCTTTGACTAAGGGGTTTGGCTTGTGTGTTTAAAAAAAGAATAGAAAGAAAGAAAAAGGTGGGATTGACTCAGAACTCACACCAGAAGTAGCAGAACCACTCAGGAGGGCTTTGGAGCTCAAGAGCACAGTATGAAAATGCTCGCCCCCTGTTTACTTTTAACCTCTGGTTTGTCTTGGATGTGATTCCTAGTAGGCTGCCTCGTCCCACAGAAACTGCAGCCTCTATTACCACCTTCTTGGTGGAAAGGTCCTGCCTGAGAAACTGTGAGAATGCATCCTCCTGGGCTGCTGGTTTTCTTCATAGTGACGTGTTTCGCTCCCACGGCCGAGGGCCAGAGTCGGAAGGTGAGTCTGGAAGTTGGGGTGTTACATTCACAGAATGGTTGTTTGCATTTAGGTGGGCGCATGTTGCAGAAAACTTCTCCTTAAGAAAAGAACATTTTTTCATCTCCATTTAGTTAGGTGTGGACTAACATCCGCAGTTAAACTTTAGGATTGTAACGCACCATTTCAACTCATAAGCCTTGGTAGACGGGCAGCCGAGGCTCTTTGGTGACTGATATGAATGCTATTTCATATTATCGTGTCTACTGCCGTTGCCCTAGTGGTTTCCTGCTGTTGGAAGAACAAGCCAGCCTATGGAATCAGAAACTGTGTGAAGCATTTGGAAATCTTCTTCCCCAGGACTCTCTAGGCTACAGAAGAGCTGTCTTTTCTTCAAAACCCTTGAGAGAGGTCTTGAAGGGAGAAGGGAGAGATGATGGTGTTTTTTAATTATCTGGAAGCAGAGAAGGTCTCCAATGTGCTAATGCTTTGAGAGGCACAGGCTCATGTCTTCAGCTGATTTAAGGAGAGTTTTTGTCTTTTGGAGACACTGTGTTTCTGCTGTCACTGTAAGTGGTATCTGTAGTTACTGAAGGCTTGGCACTGAAACAGTTAAGGGTCAGGTAATGAATGTAATGAGTCTCTGAGCCTACTTAGAGACAGGAAACTTTCTGAATCACCTCCGGAGCAGTTTATTTAATCCCTAAGAACAACCCTTTAGAGCTGTTTCCCAAAAAGGCTCTTTGGGTGGAGGGAAAAGAAACATTTAAAGGCATATAATGGGAGGTCAGGATGAAGCAAGGGCCTGATGAAGTTGTCTCTAGCATTTTAGGAGACAGAGAACACCCCATTGTGGCAGCAGATCCTGGAACTAGCGGATTACCAAAGCCGTGGCAAGAGCATCGAGGTGAATATGGTGTTAGGTGATCTCTGAGCTAGCTTCTTCATCCTCGCGCAGAAAGGTTGCCTTTCTGGATAAGTCTGAAGGCTTCTGTACCCAGCAAATGTCCATCTGCTCAACCAAGGTTGCTGAGAGCTTAGTGAGGTGTTACAGGGCTGTAATAACATGAGCATGTGCCTGTGCTCTGTTTTGTGAAGGGCGCGTGCCCTGGGATCTCTGGTTCATTAGATACTGGCATCTCCCAGAACAGACTCCCAGGGTTGTTGGAGCTGTGCATTGCTGTCCCGGCGCGTTTTTCTTTCTCCTTTTAAGTGTTGCCTTGCAGAAGGGTTTGTGTTAAGGTTTAAGAGAAGATAAAGGGGGGAAATGAGGGGAAAGAAATGAATTCTTAAAAAAAACAGCCTAGCCTTTTGAAGATGAAGGAGCATGGACACGGGTGAAGGGGGGACATGCTGCCCAATAGGGACACAGGAAGGAAGCCTGGGGGTTGCAGAAGCCCCAGCAGGCCTACACTGATGTGCAGGAGGCTGCGGCCACTCACACGCAGGCGTGAGGCAGAAGAAAAGACGGCCCGAGCCCCAGTGAGGCAAACCCCGGTGTGGGCACCCTGTTGGCTGCAGCGGCCCCACTTCTGCTTCCAAATCCGCGGATTTGGGAGCTGCAGCACAGCCTCCCCCTCCTCCTGCCGTAGCTCGGGGCTGAGGCCGTGCAGGCCGGGGCCTCGCTCGCTCTGCGCAGGATGCGGTCCCTGGTTGCGCGCTCTCCCCCACAGCGCGCGCCTCAGCCGCCACACGAGGCCACGCAGGCCGGGCTGCCTCCGTGCAGACATTCCCTCCTCTTCTGCTTTTCTGGGAAGCAAAGCTTTCCGGACAGTGACTGTTTCATCGGTTCCATCACTCTCACAAGAAGGAACATAGTTCTTTTTTTTTCCTTTTTTTTTTTTTTTTTTAAATCTTCTACAGCTGTTTTCTTCCCCTTTTCTCCTGCCTAGTGCTGCTGACACAGCGTGTTTCCAAATAAAAAGGGGAAGGTGTTACCGGAAAGGAGCCTAAACCTCACAGAGTCTCCTGGGAAGACAGGATAGGTGGAATTGCACAAAAACTGTCTTATTTTTGTGCTGAGGATGAGTCACACGTAACTAAAGCCAACAGGGAGGGGTGAGTGGCCACTCCGGTGGAGGAAGGAGAAGATAAATTGAATAAGCTGATGCCTTCATCCACCAAAAAGTGACGCATTTAATGGCCTAACTGCATCTGGCAGCCAACTTCTGAGGCTTGGAAGTGAGGAGGAGATGGAAGATTCTGGTGTGGGGTGTGCCTTCTGCTTGTATGGTCCTTTCCCTAAAGACTGGGAAGCTCAGGATCCCGCCGAAGGGTCATGATCTCATTATAACAGTGCTTACACCATTGCTTATGGCAGAGCTTCCACCTCTGTATTTCTTTGTCAGGATCTTGCCACCACTTTTGCCAAGGCATTGTGTCAGTGAGGATTAAGGCTGAGATTTGACATGCCCAGAGCTGGCACGTCTCGGATTTATTTTGAGCTGTTCATAATGCAGAGAGGAGAGTTCTGGGCATAGTAGGAGGTGGAGACAACCGTGGGGTGAGGAAAGGCTTCTCCTGGCACAGGAACGGAGAGATTGGAGCTCAGCCAAGAAGGAAGGAACAGAATGCAAGCAGGCATCATGGATGTGAAGTCTCCAAGTGCAGGGAGGCTGAAGGGATGCTGGCTCACTGGCCATAAAGCTAGGCCTGTTGGTGGAAGGACCCCGCTAGGACCATGAGCTTCTCTCATGATACCGATGCATGAGCGGTGATGAACGTCCCTGTGAGAGGCCACCACGGATACAGAGGTACTGGGTTCTTTAGGCAGCGCTGCCTGCACAGATAGCGGCAGGAGATGAATCTATGAAGATGGGAAAACACTCAGCAGCTCCAGACAGAGGTGACATGGCTGCTGCTCCGGAAGCTGCTCCAGGAGGCCATCCCTGCGGATCTGGGAGCTGAAGGTTATCTCTCAGGAGGTTTTCCTGACAGGCTCTGCTGGCTCTCAGCTGGGAGTGCCTTCCTGAGTGGCCGATAGCGGGTGGGAAGCAGCAGGCTTCCTCCCCTCGAGGAACATGCGTGCGTTTGCACTTGCTTAGGGTCAGAGAAAGCTAAGCTGAGCAGAGATTGCTGATGGAAGCCTAAAATAAGGACTTCTGGGCATGTGAGTGATGCCCCATGAACTGTGCTGTTCAGGATGGTCCTAAAAAAAAAGCCATTCAAGGCCTCCACCCCAAAATTGATCTAATATTTGTATTTTCAGAAAATAAGTTTCTTGGAACAGCTGAGGTTGGTTGGGGCTTGCTCTCTGTGGGTAACCTTTGGAGGTGAGCAGTGCTCGTGCCGCCCGGCTTGTCCCTGCCACCATGCGTGGCAAACAGTGCCGAGGTTCCCCTGCACTGGCCTGACTTCAAGAGTTTTAGAACCTTTTTGTGGTGAAATCATGAGCTTTAACCACAAGCTAGCAGGCAGTGATGATTCTTCTCTCTGTGGCTATATTTTCCTCATCTGTTCCAGCTGATTTTCATTTGGGGAACCAGCACTGGAGGGGAGCAGATATGGACAAATCCTGTGAGGAAGCCTGAGGGCCCAGAGAGGAATTTTTCTGATTAGGTCGGGGCATTTGTGCTGAATTTACGAGCAGCCATGTCACCCGCACAAGTGTCCTACCTGATCTGCTTGCCAGCGTTTATGAGGCCCTTTTCACCTCAGGTCAAAGCATCAAGGGCCATTCAGCTATCGGCCACATGCAGAGCAGCTCTCCTTTAAATCTCCTGCTCTGCCCCTTCTCTGAGACATTGGCCCTAAGTAATATTTGTATGCGCAGCTGCTGGGGGACAGGCTGAGCCAGCCTCTTCATTTCTTTGGACCCACAGACCAGCAGGGCAATCATCAGCAAACTGAACTGCATCCCTGGCATGGAAGAGAGGACACCTGCGCTGCATGGGGTTCTGGGTCCTCTGCTTAGGGCTTGTTCTCACATGCTGCTACAACTTGCTTGCAGAAGAGCGGCTTAAATTAATTAGTGGCATTATGATTATTTTAGAAATGGTAAATTTTTGTGGTGAGAGTAAGGGGAAGGAAAAGGGAAAATGATGGCAAAGATCTCTCCTTCTAATGTCACATGGCTCCTGGCAGCAAAACACAGAGTTTGAACCTGACAGGGAAAAATGTAATCATCATCATTTGCAAAGAAAATCAAAGCTGTTCTTTGTTTTAACAGAGATGCTGAAGGCTGACCAGATGAATGGCCAAGATAACAAAGTAATTTGTTTTTTTTTTCCATTCTACTTTTTTAAGTTAAAATCCATGCGATGCAACGTCAGGACGACATTTACCTCGCACACAGAATGTACAGCTTGTGCAGCAGCTCCCCGAGCGTTTTGTCCGAGAGGCTGGCTAAAGGCCACGCAGGGATTAGGTGTGAGGAACTGCAGGTAAGGACTTTTTGATCCTGTTCATGTGAAGGTTTCTTGCACCTGGTGATGTGAGGAGCAATGTGTGCCTCTGGAGAATGCAGAGCTTCTTCCTCACACATTTCAACCCAGGCTTTTCTGATATGGGCTAACGAAACACTCAAAGGTGGGACCAAGCTGCTCTTGGTGGTACCAGGCTGTGTAACAGCAGACAAGTAGCATTTTAAGAAAAAGATTTTCGGTAGGAGGATAGTACACCTCTGTGATGGGGTGCACAGAGGGGAGAATCTCCATCCTCAGAAGTTTTCAGGCAAAACTTTTGCGCAGGCAAAGCCATGACTAATTTGCTAGTGTTGGTCCCAGTCTGAGAGGCAAATTGCCTTAGAGACCTCTAGGAGACCCTGACATTCCCTCTCCTTGGGATTTCTATGATTTTTATGAAACAGCTTTCCGTAAAATTACAGGATCCTTACTCTTACAGGATCCTTACTCTTGATCCATAGTCACCAGGGAACAAAATGACAATCAGTCCCCACACTTTTGGTACATATATGCATGCACGCACACACATATATTTGATGATATGCAGATTTAATCATCAACTTGTTGTATCTGTGCTATCTAAAAACCTCAAGGAACTTCATGAGTGTTTATTCCTCAAGCCTCCAGCTCTGGTCAAGAGTAAAGTATTTCAGAGGAGCAGCAACAGCCCTTGTTTTTTGAAGAACCTGAAAGAAAATTGGCCTGAGCATTGCTGTTAGTGGAAGTCTGGATGAACCGAGGCAGGAATCTGGAGAACTCTAATGATCCAAGAGGCTTTGTTTCCGGTGCATAAAAATGGATGTACGACCCCTAATCTTGTTATTTTTGTCTCCTTGACATCCCATGGAATTTTTTGCTGGGCATAAGGTTTTGTGTGCATAGAATAAACTGCACAACAGCTGCTTTTACCTTGCCCTGAACAACCTGAGCTAGCTAATCCTGCTGCAGCAGCTGAACAGAGGGTTGCCTCACATAGGAACTTGTTGCAGATTCAGCATTTGGTAGTGGATTATTAAGAAAAGAATATAATGATATTTCCCCTGTATGTCCTCACAGCTTCCAGGTATAATCCTCTGAACTTTTAACCTTCCTAGTTCTTCTTAAGAGAATTGCTTGTTCTGGTGCCATTTGCTCTCTTTTTTTTTCTCTTTTTTTTTTTTTTTTTTGCTCATCTGTTCAGCTGGGTGTATTTCTATAGCTTGCCTCTAATAGGAAAGGGATGAGGGAAAACTGAACTTGCCAAGTTTCTCAAAACAAAACACTATAGATCATTGTTAGCATATCTATTCAGTAGTGAATCAATATATAGCTCTATTGTCTGCTGTCTTCTGTGCTTCACTATTCTGTGGAAATACTTTGAAAATAGGTATAGTAGTCTTGCAGTAATCACAGACATGTATAGGAGTTAGATGGAATCAAATGGGGAAACACTGCCTACCTGAGAGAAATTCCAAATTCCTTTTGAAATGGAAGTTACGCCAAAAATGAAGTATAGGAATAATGTGAGTTTTCTGAGTGTTTTACTGCTGTGGATGTGATAGGGTGGTTGTACAAAGACAAGAATAGAGGTGTCCCACTCCAGGATACACATACATGCAGAACAGTGGGTAAAGATGTGTGAAGGGTTGAAATGGGGAAAGAGCCTCCTCCTGAATAATTAAGTGTTTTGCTCAAGATCGCATGGAGAATCAGTGAATAACACAGGTATTGAATCCACATTTCTGGCATCCCAATCTGGAGTTTTCAGTGCAACACAGAGAGGGACAAGTCCTACAAGGAAGTTCTTTCAAGGTTCTTTCTGGAATGATGTCTAATTTGAGCAACTTTGGAGGTCCTAACTCTGTCTCTGTGCTGTCCAACTGCAAGGTCCAAAGTGTCTGCCCCAATGCCATCAACCTGTCCAGGGTCCTGTCTCCAGGCCCTGGCAGAGTTCTTATGAGTGTCTTTGATGCTCATACCAATGGGCTTCCTGGAGAAGACATAACCAGGGAGTGCAGGGAACAAAACTTCGTGTGCATGATTGGCTTTGTAGCTCAAAACCAAAATTCCAGGCTGGGTCCAAAGGGCAATGGAAAAGTAATGAATGAACATCCAGCCTCTTCCCCAGGGGGATCTCTCTGTGCAAATGGTTTCACTTCTGACATCAGTCTGTCATAGTCCTCAGGACTGCAGCATGAATGCTTAGAAACCCTCCAGCAAGTATGTGCTCAATACTGATTCATAAAAACTATGGTGGGCCCAAAGCTTGTGCTGTAATTACAAATCTCGGATTGTTCTTTTTAAGATACACTGTCAAGTTAGGAGAAAACACGCTTTCCCTGCCGGGGTGCCATCACATCTGCAAGAAGGAAATTGAGGAGAAAAAGTGCTGCCCAGGATTCTGGGGTACAGAGTGCTATGGTAAGTATATGCTATGGTACAGAGGTCTCTGGCTATAGAATAGGTCAAAACAATTTTAACATAAGACATTATATGGGTACTGAGATGATTAATTTTCATTATTCCTCTTCCTGAATACTCGCAAGATCTCCCTTATCTACCTAAGAGGGTCAAAAGATAATCGGGAAGGAATCTTTTTGCTTCAGATGAGTTGAATCAGTTTACAGTCAACTCATAACATAAACTGCTTTGGTGGAACTTCCTGTTGTCTCTTCTTTGACTTAAAGCACGGTTTGGAAAGGGATTTTTTTTGTTCCTCTTTAAGGAAATTTCCAAAGGAAGAGGAAAATACATCTTGCTGATGTCCCTTTAACTTGGAATATGTTTATATATGTCATATATAATTCTGTGTAGTTTGGAACTAGTCAGCATTTCAGCCATTGAAAAGACTTAGTGATTCCACCACCCCCCCATTCATTATCAAGCTTAATAATCAGAATTTGAAAATTGTTTGGTTTTGTATCTATTTGTCTCAATAATCCAAAACCAAGACGTAACAAGCCAAACAGTTCTCATGTGATTGCCTAATCATGGGCATATGGAGAAGGCTCTCTGATAATGCAGCAAATGGGAGGTTGCTTGGGTCTGTTTTCACATGGAAGTGGTTTGAATAAGTGATTGGCTTGGTCAGAGGCATGACATGCCTAAAATTTCAAAATAGTCTCTGGAATTTGGAGGTACACCACTCCAAAGACATGTAGACCATGCTTTTCTGAGCATATTCCCAGCTCTTCATGAAGCCAGAATCTGCAGATGCTCAATATCTGTGACAAACAGATTCCTGTCTATCCTGAGCTTCAGAACCACCTCATATGTCTGGTACCACTCCTTGCTGTTATTAACAGGCTGAAAATGGTGGCTGGGTCTGCCAAAATAGTTAGACTTTTTGCAGAAATTAAGTTAGTTACAAGTCCCTGGGAGCTTTCTTAACTTTTTATTATAGGCTAAGTGGATAATATTTGTCACTACTACAATAGGAAATAAAATCATTAGTGATTTGGCTCTTCAAAAAGGGCTGTTCACCATTCAGCATTAGGCTGCTTTCATAGTTCCTGGAATAGCTCTCAGAATAACTGTGCAGCAAATGGGCACAAATTAAAACACTGGAAGTTCTGTCTCCCTATGAGGAAGAACTTCCTCACAGTGACGGTGACAGAGCCTTGGAACAGGCTGCCCAGACAGGCTGTGGAGTCTTCTTTTCTGGAGATCTTCCAAACCTGCCTGGATGCCACCCTGTGCCACGTGCTGTGGGTGTGCAGGGGGGTTGGACTAGATGATCTCCAAAGGTCCCTTCTGACCTCAACCATTCTGTGCTTCTGTGATTTAATAGATGCAGATTATCCTCTTTGTTCAGACAGCAAGGGGGCTGTTCCCTGGTGCCACTCTGGCCATCTTCGCCTGCTTTGGGATGTTATTAACTATTGGAAAATCAGTCAGGGAGCCCAACTGGACAGTCAGAATGCATTATTTTGGGAGTGCCTGTGGAAAGAGGAGTTAGAGGGAGGGAGTGCTGACTTTTACCAGTGATGACAAGTGTAATCTTGTCTGGCCTGTCTTTTGTTCCCTAGAGTGCCCAGGTGGCTCTGAAAATCCCTGCAATGGCCATGGGATGTGCTTGGATGGTATAGAGCGAAATGGGACCTGCGTCTGCAAGGTCAGTGCATGATTTGTTCTGAGGGTGATGTGCTTCTGCCAGAGGGAAAATCACAGAAAATCAAAAGTTGGGAGGGATTTTAAGCTATGACTATGTTTGGACAATGCAGCAATATAGAAAAATAGCATCTGGTACATTTTGCACCTCTTCCAGGAACAGTACAGTGGTTTTGCCTGCCAGAATTGTCGAGATGAAAATCGTTTTGGCCCAGACTGTCAGTCAGGTAAGGATGAGCAGTTCAGGTAAAACCATCTTCCTTGTGGTCTTTGCCTACAAATCAATACACACAATGCTACTTCTTATTTATTTTATTTTATGAAGCAATTTATGGCCAGTGCAACCTAACTGCTAAAGAAGCCCCTGCCATCTTCTTGCCTGGTTCCCTTGTGTCCATGTAGATCCATGAGCTGTGGTATCAGGGCAAGAGCTCACAGGATGGCACCAGAGCGAGGATCACAAGTGCACTCCTTCATTGCTGTAGGACTGCAGGAGTCTAGGAGGAGTGGGAAGTTAAAACACACATCTGAAAAGTTTGTCCAGATTTTGCATTCAGGACTGTTCATACAAAGCAACACTTCCTCTTCAGACCAAGTATTGCAGCGTGCTCTCTGTTAGCTCCAGCTGGCATAGCTACTCTTTCAGAAGGAAATGTGTCCTGTTGGGGCAGTTGGTGGGATTATTGGTGCGAAATCAGGGTGCCAAGCCCCAGGGCATTTGCCCAGTGTATAACTGGAGCCCTACCCACTGCCTCGTAGCTCTCAACGTCAGGTTTGTCCGGACTTTCTTTGCAGTATGTGACTGTGTGCATGGGGAGTGTAACAGCGGTGTCACTGGAAATGGAAGCTGCACATGCTATGGAGGCTACACTGGGCCCAGATGTGACCAAGGTAAATACAGTGGTAACTAAACAGGGGCTTTTGAGCTAAATAATGAAATGGGCTTGGATGTGTGGATGTGGCAGAGGGCTTGGGAAGATGATCAGAGTGCAGGAGAACTGGGCAGAGGGACAAGTTGGGCTCTCTTCCGCACTCCAAAGTGAGAGTGGCCAAGATCTCTTTGTGCCTCTATTCTTGCTCTGGAAATGAAGCAGGCCCTCCCTTTCTCTCCCTGCTCAGAGGAGAAGTTCTCTTTGCTGTGTGTTTCCAGAACTTCCCCTCTGCAAAAGCGTGATGTGTGAGGCTGGCAGCCAGTGTGTGGTGAAGGACAAGGCAGCGACGTGTGACTGCAAGCCGGGCTACAGAAGAAGTGGGACCACTTGCCAAGGTGACAAACTTCCCCATGACCCTAAAGGGTCCTCTAGTTGGAAAAATATTCTGCAGCTCTGCATGAATTTGATGACTGTGACTACAGTGGTCTACTTAACTGTGGAGGCCTAAGGACCTGATTTTTAGGAATCTCTTTAATAGGAATCCATCCAGCACTTTCCCATAGGCATGTACTGAGTAACCATGATGGCAGGATACTGGTGGGTGCATGCTAGTTTAGATAATGCATAAGGGCATGTAATTTGAGTGTTTCTTCAGAGATTTAAATTTAAGTTTGTGAATTGTTTGTTAAAAGAAAGTCAGTAATATACATGTGACTAACTGGCAATGGACCGCTCCATTTTCACTGAATTTTTGCAGTTTCAGATGTTAAATTGACTATACTCCAGTTTCAAGTATTCTCAGACATAATGGAAAATCAGAAGTAAATCCAAATTCCATTACTGCTGTTACTGACCTTTGTGTTATTGACGTAATATGAGGAATGTCTTACCCAAATACCTCCAGCTAAAAAACCCAAGCCTTCTGCTCTCTTAATTTGTGTATTGGCCTGGGAAATTTTAGAAGTTTAATAGAATAAATTCTTGGTGCTCCATTCTTCCTGGACTCTTGGCTTCTTGCTGTGAATTTTGTTGAAAACAAAATCTTGGTTGCTCCTTTACCCCTCACCTCTTTGTTTGCAGCTGAGGATCCCTGTGCTTCTTCACCGTGTTCCCCCTCAGCTGTGTGTAAGGTTCTTAGGCCGGGAAAGTATGAATGTACCTGCAAAGCAGGGTTTCAAGGAGATGGGAAGATATGCCAGCCCATAAACCCCTGTGTTGACAACAACGGAGGCTGCCCAGAAAACTCCACATTCTGCCTTTACAAACGCCCAGGAGAGGTAAGTGCAGTAACAGCATGTGGCTGAAATCACACAGGAAAGGATTCCTTTCAGTGAGGCTCCTGATCATGTAAGTTCTTACCAGGTAAGAGACGGTGAATGCAGAGTTATAATCGCAGCTTTGTCCTCCCTTAGGCATCTTGTGTTTGCAAGCCCGGTATGAGCAGGAAAACTCCCTCCTCGAGCTGTTCTCCGTTCCCCAATGACTGCCGGCAGTACTTCTGCGACGTGACTTCCACCTGTGCAATAAATTCCCATGGGAATCCTAGGTGAGCCAGTCTAAAGAAATCTGCTATTAAAGGATCAGATTCTGCAAGTTGGGTGGCAATTGCATTTGGCTGTGCTGAAAGAACAGAGACCAAGGGAGGATAATGTGCCTGAGTTACCTTTTGAGAAGAGCCTGTTTGTAATAACCCCATTGAAAGTAGCAAGTTTTACACCAGGAAGTGTCAATCTTAGCATGTGAGGCACAAAGTGCTTTCAATTTGAGGTAGAAGAGTCTTCTGTGACAAGAACTGGAGGAGTAGCTCAGCAAGTTGGTGGTTATAGTAAGACCTTATTCAATTAATGATCCCTCACAGTGTTACTCTTGCCTAGTTAGCGTGTTCTAAGAAGTACCACATTTGGTTCTGAGGGCTAAATCCTTGTCTCTGCGGTCACTCAGGCCTGTAAACAGGAAACGAATGAGAATTGCAGAATGACAGGGAAAGGGAGCAGAGGGAAGAGAGAAAAGACTTTGTCTAGCCCTCCAGGGAGCAAAACACCGACCAGCTGATACTCCTTGGATGGAAAGTATTGCCAGATCTGAGACCTTTTTGGCATGATGTCCCTCCAAACACCAGGAAAAGCTTCATAGAGGGTTTTGTGTGTTACTGAGAAGAGCTGGCACTTCTCTGGGAGACCAAAGGAGAAAGGGCAGTCCCATCCTCTGCACCCTTTCTCTCCCGTGCTGCTAAAACTAGCATGCCCTGTGCCTTGTGTGCTCTGGGCCAGGCAAGGAGCCCAGTGGCTTCCTCCTCTGAGCGCAGGCCAGTGAAGGGGAGGATTCCTGCTCAGCACAAGTCCTGCCTTGAGCATTTCTCTTACTTAGCAGCTGGCACTCAGCCCTCGGAGGCTGCAGTAATGTCACACATGTCACCTGCCCCACACATCCTTGCATCCCTGCACTAGCAGAAGCACAGCTGGTACTTGAACAAAATCCAAACAGGAAAAAATGTGGTTATCAGCTAGTAATCTTAAGTAGTTTCTAAGCAGTGACTATAAGTCCATGTGAATCAGGACAGAGATTTTCACATGTAGATAAGCTTTTCTGCAAAAGTCATTAGCATGTCTGAAGCTTTCATTAAGTCTGAGACAAAGCACAACTAGCTGCTGTGCTGGGACTGATGCTTTTCACTGAGGTATGATGAGGCTGAAGTGCCACCAGGAAGCTATTTATTCGCTGGATTTTCATTTATATGTTTGCATTTTATACATGACCCCGGATTTTCAGCTGATCTTTTACCAGTACTGAGTACTTAAACAGAGAGGACTTGAAAGCATTATCCTCCTTTTTGGTTAATCTTGAATTTACTTGCACTTCAGAAGCATCCATCTTCTTTTCCTTTCATTTAATTTAGACAGAAATTACTAAGTCCCTTCCTATACCTTAAATTTGGGAGTCATCTTCTAAATGTAGATATTGATGTATTGTCCTACTCTAATTTGTCAAACCTCTTGAGAACTGCTTTATAACGGAGTGATACATTTCATTTTTGTCTCTTAGCTGTGTCTGTAAGGAAGGGGAGATTGGAGATGGAAGAAGTTGCTATAAAGACCTCATGAGTGAAATAAATCAACAGAATTCACGTGGAAGATTTTTCAGGAAATTAAATGTCGCCAAGAAGATGTTTGGTAAGGGTCTTCTGAATTTTTTGGGGGAATGGATCAAAGGTGGGGACAAGAGTGTGTTAGCAAAGGTCTAGAAGCTGCCAATCATAATAGATTTATTTCACAGTGTATGTCCATGTGCTCCAAAATAAGTCACATAATCAGTTCTGGACTGTGATCTGAGAAAACTATTTCAAAGATCAATGTGTATTTTGTATTCCATCAGTCTGCAGAAGAAGGGAATCAACAATTTTGTTGGCAAATACTTAAAACTGATAGCCACCAAGGTGGCCTATGATACCTTAGGAGTTCCAAAAGTTCCTCAGTTCTTTATAGTATACCGTAATATACTGGTCACTTGCAAAAACAGATTGCACATGGTCACTTGCATCCCCACAGGTAGACTGGATTATGTTGTTAACCAGAGCAGTAATCATTGCTGGAGTTAAACCACATGCCAAGTAACTAGCTTATGTTGTCCTTATTTTTACAGCTTCTGGTTGTTCGGTGCCACTGACAAAATATGGTCCTTTCACAGTCTTTGTACCATCCCTTCTTCCAATTTATGATAAAATGGAGTTTAATGTAAGTTTTCTTGCTTATAGCAAATTTTTACTGTCTTAGCATTTCTTCCCGACTGGCTTCTGCAGCCTACAGAAACTAAATGACAATGGAGAGACATTTTGGAAGGCAATAGTTACACAAGCAGTCTCCTGGGGAAATTGTTCATTGCCTGGTTACACTCTCATGGAGGATGCTACAGACCTGGCATTATTTTGAAAACCTCTATCTTTCCCTTCAATATTCACAGGGCTTGTTTGTTTTAATGTCAGGGCATATAAGCTCAGAAGGTTTAAGTTCTGGCCTTTCCTCATGGGAAACTCCTACCTCCTGTGTGTGGCTATTCTCAAAACTTTAGGTGTCTTTGATGGCTTTCTTCCCTCCCAGTGGTTGATAGCAACATGGAGCAGCTCCTGGCTGAGAGTGCCAGGGAATTAACCTTCTCTAACACCTTTTTGAGCAGAGGTTTCCACTGTAGTGAGTAAGGTCCCACACCTAGGTCCCAGTGGTAACTTCTAGAAACACAGAGAACAGACCACGAAGGGCCCTTTGGTTGTCTAGTCCACCTGGAGACTCAAGGGAGGGTCAGTTCCATCTAAATCAGTATTAATAGAGGATTGTCTTAAAAAGCATCGGTGCTGGAAAGCCCAGAAAAGAAAGGAAGAAACCAAGTATAAATTCAGTGCCTCAGACCACCTACAAGGTCCAGCAAAAACAAAGACCATCTGTAAAGACCTGATGCAAGTTTTGTGAACTGGGTATGCAGAGATAGCTTTAAAATTGCCCAAATATAATGATTTTCTCTGTAGAGGATCTCTCTGAAGGTGGGGGATTCCACTTAGGGGAGAATCAGTTTCCCTGGGTTTGTGTGAGCACACACAGGCAGAAGCACAACCTTGGGTACAGTGGTCCTCCAGTGAACCAAAATGAAGAGAGAAGGTCAAGCATGCTAAGAATTCCTGTGTGTGTTATAGCTAGGAAAAAGGTACAGATATGGAGTAAGTGAGGTTGTTAAAGTGCATGTCCTTTATCTCCTTTCTTTGGTCTTTACTCCCCAAAGGACAGCATTGCAGAGCAGTTATGCAGAATACACATTGTTCCTGGCATCCATTTGGTAGAAGACCTGGTAAAAACCAAGACTCTGTGGACCTTGTCCGGACACCAGCTGGCATTCAATAGCCAGGTAAAGGATCCCCTAAACTAAACAGAAGTCCCACATCTTTACGTTCATGTAGGGTTGACTGGGGCTCAAGCATGGTTTTCTTGGTGGACTTTCTTAACGAGAAAACCTTTTTCTCTAACTAACCTGCCTGTGATGAGAACAGGATTTTATTTCCATATCTTTAAGAAAATCATTAAGTTGCAGGAACTGGAAATGTAGCAGATTTGTTATATTATAAGTTCTCTCCTTTTTGGTGCAAAACTGTTTATCTCATTACATGTTCTACAATGCTGTGTCTAATGTTAAATAATGCTGCTTCTTGATTCCTACCATTGTGGTACACGGAGGTGACATTGAGCTGTTTTTCCCTGCTCTTAAGTTGTTTACATTTCCTCAGTTCTGAGAAGCTAAGTGTAATATTTAAGATAAAGTCTTGTTATTACAGAGCACATCTGAGCCCAGAACATGACTCCTTTGCTGAGTTTGTATAAGTATTGGGAATGGTCTTTCCTGAGCTTGTATAAGTATTGAGGAGAAGAGACCTTTTCCCCGCACTGTTAGCAAGTGTGGTCCCATGTGGCTGGAGCAGGAGGGGCAGCAAGTCTCCCTTTGGACTGAATCCTTGTCCTTGGAGAGCGTGTGCTTGGACACAGCTATGTGCTGCACATCTCCTCCTCCAGTTGTGCTTTTCTCCTCTTTCTCTTTTAATTTCTGGCATCATCCTAGCAAAGAGTTTTTCATCATTCTATTTTGACATGGAAGATTGTTTTTCTGCTTTTCCTTTTTCAACTGACTCCTGTTTTCCAGCCTCTGCTGTTCTTTCTCCATCCTGCACACTTCCTGTGTGCACGTTTGCAGCTGCCCAGGGCAGAGCCCTCCGTTTCCTCTCTGAGGATCCAACCCTGGCCTTGAGGACTAGATTGTAATATGTGCACCCTGCATGCATCAAAAGGACAAAGTGCTATTCGGAGTCAGGGAATCTGAACCAGGCTTGTCAGGCCCTTGTTATATTCCTTTCCTGCCTGTTTACTCGGGAATCTTTCGATCTGGGATGTCTGCCCCCGCCTGCCTTTGTTTCAGCATGGCCAGTATGTGAGCTGGTATTCCCAGCACAGAGGGACAATTCCAGAAATGCACATGCAAAAGGAAAAGCCCAGTCAGGTTGTATTTGCCTGGGCTTGGACTGGAGATTTGGGTTTGCTGGAGCACCAAGTACCTTGATATCCAGTTTCTGGGTTACACTTGGTATGCTTACGTCGTGCATAGCTTTGGTGTAGGCAGGCATCAGCTGGGGGACTGTGTCTGGAATTCAGGGAAGCTGACTTTGGCTTCATGATGGAGACTTTTTGTGGACATTATGAGCTAAGAAAAGCAGCAGCCAAAGCTGCAGCCTCTCAATTCTGTACTCCGGCAGCAACTCCAGCTATGTTCTTGCCTCGGTGATCTATAGGAGGGAGCGAACTGAATGGAGCCTTGGCTTGTAGATACCATGTTGTGATACAGGAAAATAACCTTGTGTTGTTATCCAGATATACAGCAAATCATTTCGATATCAAGACCTGCCAGGGGAACTGTACAACATCTTGCAGTCGAACATACCAGCAGCCAATGGCATTATACATATCATTAACACTGTAAGGAAAAAGCCCAACGTTGACAACCCTGGAAACCCCCAGGTACATAGACATTCTTATTTCTTATATTTTATGGAATAATAGAATAAATACTTTAATTTTTTCATTGGTCTCTATTGCATTTTGAAATTAGACTCAGAAAGGTTGTCCTTGTGTTAAAAAGAGGACAAATAATGTAATGTAAAATGAGGACAAATAATGACTGCAGACTTTTGTGTTTTGAAGTCCAACTTGAATTTAAGACACTAGGGAGGGATTGAAGAGTTCTCTATTCAGTCTCTGCTTTAGCAAGCAACCATGAGCATCACCTAGAGAAGCAAATTCCAGTTTTTGCTCAGACCCTGCTTCAGACTCAGCCTTTTTTTTTCCCTCTTTGTATCTTCTTGCAGAAAACCATTGGTGAGATCCTTGCTTCAATGGAGATCTTCAGTCGATTTGAAACTATACTGGAGGTAATCATCTTTGTTTGCCTAGGCAGGTGCTGCTCTGCTGCTGTTCAAAACTAGCTAGTATTTTTACAGGAATTTTTAATAACATTTAAATGCATTTCAGTAGTTTGGTTTTCCTTATGGGTGCTTTTTTTTTGAGTCCCCACTTCTTATTTTCTGTATACTACAAGCAAATGTAATAGACAGGAAAGAGCTGAGTTCCAGCACCTAGAGGGGCTGGCATGAGCATGGAGCATGCAGGTGTCTTTCCTCTCTTGCTCTCCCCTCTTTGTTGCTCACCTGGCACAGAGCTTTTCTCCAAATCACCCTTAGATCTTGGCCTCCATGTCAGTACAAAGAGGGATGGCCTCACTTCTGAATGTGCTTGTCCATGCCAAGTTAGGCTGAAGCTGCCTCTATTTGGCGTAGACCTCTAAACAAAAGCAATCCTCGGACTTGATTTAGTTGATATTTTTACAAGGAACAGATTTACCTTTTGTTTTCAGTAGAGTCATCCAGCTCTGCTCCAGTGTTGTATTATTTCAGCTGTATGGCAGTCAGTTGGCTGCAAAATTCGCTAAGTGCAATTGTGATACCAGACCTGGGGCTCTTTCTCTTCTGGGGCAGAAAGACTGAATTTTAGTCTCTGAATATGTACACAGGGGAGCCTTAGTCCAGTGCTTCTTTGTGCACATTAGCTCCATTCATGCCAATGGCTTCCTTGTCCAGGCCATGTTTTTATAGCATTTATGTCCCTGTTACGTTCCTTGCCTCCCCTTGATGTCCAGTTACCTCCCGTGTACATTTGCTTTTCAGTAATCATGCCTCAAGTGGGTTGCCTCAAGTTTCCTCTCTGCAAGATCCCACATCCATGAAATATTTCATCCATGGTGAAATCTTTTATTGCTTTGCTGTTAAAATTTTGCAGAACTGTGGCCTACCCGCAATCCTGGATGGACCAGGCCCTTTTACTGTATTTGTACCCAGCAATGACGGTGTGGATAAGCTGAGAGATGGAAGACTCATTTATTTGTTCACAGAGGTGAGAGCTCATAATAATTTAAGAGTCTTAAGTGTCTTGCACTAGAGTTTTCTGGAAGAGCTCATGTGATCTGGGTGGAACCAGGTAAGAGAAATACACTTGGTCGAATGGTCTAATCTGATTTTTGGCCTTTTTTTTTTCTTTTTTTTGCTTTTGGATAGGGGGAAATGAAGAAACTTACTCTCCAAGTGAATGTACTATTATGGTACATAGGCAATGTCAGTAGTCAATTAAAAGAAAATGTAGTTGTCTCATTCCTGAGCATTGAAAGGATGATTAATTATTGTCCTGTCTTCTCTTCTTAGGGCATAAATAAACTTCAGGAACTTGTGAAGCATCATATCTACACGTCAGCAGCGGTAAGACAAGCAGCTCCAGTTTTAGGTATTTGGGGGTCTTCTGGGTAAACATCAGTGTGGTTTGGTGCAGAGGCTGGAGTATCAGTGAGTTCAGCTGCTACTTCTTGAGCTTCGCCTGGTGGGTAGAGATGTGATCCAGGGTCTGATGAGCCAAAAAAAATTATCATGGAAGTAGTTGCCAAAAGGGAAAGCTTTTGCACTTTCATCCAAAACTCTGAGATGTAGCAAAAGTTACTTCTAAGTGAAGAACTGGTCAAAACTCTCCTGTTCCTTTTCCTCATTTCTAAGGGTTCCACTAGTGGTTAAAGAAGTCAGAGATGGAGAACTGTGTGCAGGTGTGATCCTGTGACCTGGTTCTGCCATTCTTGTACCAACTTTACTGTATAATATAATGTCAGGATAAATAAAATCAATACAGTGCATCCACAAGACATTTTCCCTCATATAATGATTAAAATAAATATTGAAAATTATATATAAAACTTGTGGAAAGAGAAATGATTACTCAACAAATATGGTATGATTGCATGTCCATCATTAAAAAAATCAATATATTCTCATTCTTTACTGAGAGACAAATGTCAACCCTTATGATTTTCCTAATTCCAATTAAGAAAATGAGCAGCATTTTAACAAAACAGCAAAATATATTTTTTCTTGCAATTGCTGACCACCAACATGGTAACAAGCTGAGCTACTTATTTTAACAATTTGTTAAGGACATTAAAAAAAAACACACACAATTGGTTCAGTTCGTAGAATTTTTTACCTGTCAAAACCTTATGTTCATATTTGTCCATACAGTAGCTGCAGTTTACATTTCTTCTGCCTTTAGAAATAAGTTTATTAAGTCAAAGTAAATGGTCTATTATGTTTCTGGCTCACTTTTACATGTTTATGAAATATGTCCTGGAGACTTCCCTTACTAATCTGACCCTGCTGTCAGCTGTATGGGTAAGGACAAAGATTCAGTTTTAGTTGTTCTGGACTGCAACTTCCCTGAGGAACAAATTCCAAGGCTGTTGTGGCATTGCAAACAGCCCCACAAAGCCCTGACCCATTGTACATTTTGGAGATATTTCCTGAAATGTAAATGATAAAGCTGAATAGCCTGTAAAGAACATTGGTTTTTTTTGTTTGTTTGTTTTTTCCCCCACTGTTTCATGGTATTAACCCCTCGTGTTTGTGTTTCAGGTGACTGTAGAGAAGCTGCTAATGATGCCACACATTGTTACTATGGCTAACCAGGTACTAACCATCAACATCAGCGCAGATGTAAGTATCACTTAGAACCCTTTTGGGCAAACCCCTTGTGCTAGGAGAACGGGTGGTTCTGGTTCTGAACACTGCACTTGGCCCCTCAGCTCTGCATTCTCCTCTGCTTAATAAACTAGACTCATTTAAAGACACTGAATTATTTTTGCTTCTTAACCCCTCTGTGCTTCCAGTAAGGGGCTTGATTATTTTATGTGGCTGCATTTAGTGGGTTGTACTAGCTGTCTCCTGCACTGGTTTTATGTCTTTTGCACTCTCAGACAGGGTAAAAAGCAGGTAAATTATTTGTGTTTCTGCATTAGGGAAGAATTCTGATGGATGAATCGGGGATCCCCATAAACATGAGAAACATCGTGGCGTCAAATGGGATCATTCATACCTTGGATGGCATCTTCATCCCTCCTTCAATTGTGCCCATTTTGCCTCACAGATGCAATGAAGTACAGCATAAAATTGTGAGAGTAAGTCAGCCTCTCCCACTCTCCTGCCAGTGGCTGCTGTGGGTCTCGCACACTCCTGAAATGTCCCCAGCATGAAGTTACCTAGTTGTAGGTAGTTGTTCTCTGGCAGATGCCACCTTACTGCTGTGGTCGTCTTCGCACTCTCGTTACTAAATCAGCTGGCAATGCCTTGGTCCCATCACTGTCGACATCAATAGTAGCATTTACAAGCAGTGACAAGTTCTGGTATGGCATATTCCCCCCTGAACTGTTCTGTATAGCTTAGTCTAGGTCCTTACTCTGCATTTGGTCTCCTGGTAGGTTACTGAGGAAAGAATGTGAGATTTTGAATAAGCAAGAGATTTGGCACCACACAGTTAATCCAAAGGAGGAAGAGGGTCCAACACCTTCCTGATTTAGGAAGGCCTGCCACATGGATGCCCCGTGTTTTCCAGCTTAGTCACATAGTGGCTATAGGTTACTAGGCTATAGCTTAGTCACATATGGCTATAGGTTTACAGAGACAGATCCCACCCTGCAGTCAAGTACAAGCCTGTCCTTGAGACAAAGGGGGCATTGTAGTTAAGTGAAAAACCTACTCCAGTTCAGAGCCTGTAAGTTCTCTTTTAGAGATGTTTTGACATATGTCATGATGTTTGGAGAGCTCCAAACATCCAAATGTTCTTGGCATGGGGAGTGGGTGCCTTTGAACAGATTACATTTTTCTCTCTTGTTTTCTTAACAGGGCTCTTGTGTGGATTGTGAGGCCCTTAACAACAGTGTTTGCCCACCTGGCAGCAGAGAAATGGTAAGTATTACTGATTATTTACTTGATTTCTCCTCTGAATGATGACATACAGACACCCTGACCCAGCCCACTTTCAAACAAATAGAGAGCAGGAATCAGCTCAGGCCCAATTCTGCCTGTGTATAAGTCTGAGACAGGTCACTGGACATTATCTCAGGAACAACTTGCAGTTCTTCTCTCTCTTCCTTCCCCTCTTACTCCATGACATTCTCCCTCTTCCTGCCCTCTCTCCCTGCCTCCTCCTCTCTTCTCTCTGACTGCTCCTTCTCACTCTCTCCCCTACTCCCCTCTCTCTTCTCTCTTTCTCATTCTCTCTCTCTTCTTTTTTCCCCCTTCCTTCATCTCTTCTCCCTCCCTCCCCATGGCCTTGCTCATTCTTTCCTTGCCATAAGCACGATTAGAAACAAATAGTGCCCCCCAAAGGCACAGTACCTTGGCTCTGCTTTGTGGACTGCTGAAAGCAAGAAGAAGCTGCCATGTGCTTCTTTCCTGATAGCCATGCCATAAAGGTATCTTGTTCACTGTGGCTTACTGGTGAACTTCCTCAGCTCAGAGAGAGGCACCGGTGTTCTCTGCAGCAAAAGGAGCAGAGGGGAAGGTCACAGTGCTGAGGACTTGTGTTGTTTCCGCAGGAAGCAACACTCTCCCCCAAGGAATGTGTCTATGTCCACGATCCACAAGGCCTGAATGTCCTGAAGAGGGGCTGCGCCAGGTACTGCAATCAGACTGTCACGGTGAGTGTGGTGCCAAGCAGGGAAGATCATGTTGCCTCTGCGAGTTGCTCAGCGCGGCTTCTCCTTATCCACTGAAAGGAAAACTCAGTGAGCCAGCTGGAGGGGAGCAGGAGGAAAGCCATCCTGCAGGAAAGCTGCCCCAGGAAAGCTGGTGACGTGCCCGCTCTGCGGCAAGCTACCCTGTTGCGATCATTGCTGGAAAGCAGCTCGTTCAGGCTGCACCAAGCATACCAGCCACGAGCTGCCGAGCTGGAGGAAGCCACAGGCAACAGAGCTGTGTTGCCCGTGGCACGTTGCTGCTAGAGCCATGTTTAGGCACGTCTCCCAGAGGAAATGGAGTGCTGTGAAAGGGCCTTGCACTGTGAAGTGATTGCATCCTGTTTATTACACACTGTCAGATGGTTTGGGAAGGCAGCACTTATCCCAGTTTAGAGATCTCACATTCATCTTCAACTCCTGAGCCGTCACAGTGCCCACGGTATGATATGGTTTGTGAGGGTCTCACAGCTGCATGGTTGCCTGCTGACTTTCTTTCCGTTTGTCATTCGTGACAAGGCCAACGTTCACAGTTCCTCCAGAAGAACACAGTCCTTAGCAAGGATAAAGCAGGAGGGCTCCTACAGTGCAACAGAAAGTGCAGAAGATAGTGGGTTGTGAGTAAAAACTGGGATGTGGTTGGAAAATTTAAGTATGGGAGAGCCTAGAGATGTAAATACGCAAAGTCTGTTTCTGAGTAGTCCATGGCACCAGTGGGGAGGATGGATATTTCAGCCCTGTGAGGACAGGGAGGCTTCAGACAACGCTTGCTAGGTCACTTGGCACTTCACTGATTCTGCTTTTGTTTCAGAAACTTGGATGCTGCAAAGGATTCTTTGGTCCAGACTGCATGCCCTGCCCAGGGGGATTTACCAGCCCTTGCTATGGACGGGGAAATGTAGGTGTCAAAGAACCCGCTGTGTTGCAACAAGTCAGGGCTGTTAAAGAGCATTGTCAGCTTATATGTCCTTTCAGGGCAGTGTGGGTCGTTTTTCATTTATGGTAATGACCCTAGTTCCAGATAAGTTTTTTTTTTTTTTTTTTTTTCAGCATTTGTGCCCCAGAGCAGTTCATGGTGCTGGTGGCAGGTGCAAGGAAAATAACGCATCCTTATCAGGGGGTTCTCACTTGAGCTCTAACGTGAATCATTTCATAGCTTTTGGGGTCAGCTCTGGTTATGTGGGATTTTCTATTACCGACACCACGCTTCAAATTTCTGCTTTTGCTGCAACTGTCCAAGTGCCTTTGAAAGATATCACCCCTTTGGCTTTCCCCCTGTTCCCTGAGTTTCAGTGGCACAGTTTCTTTCTATTTTCCTTCCAGTGCAGTGATGGCATACAAGGGAATGGCAACTGCCAGTGCTTCAGTGGCTTCAAAGGAATAGCCTGCCACATCTGTTCAAACCCCAACAAGCATGGCGAGAACTGCAATGAAGGTTGGTAATTCTCATGGAGACACTAGAGTAAAATGCAGGGCAAGGACAAGTGCAGGTTCGTGTATCCTGGATTCCCTCCTGGCAACATCATGAAGGAAGTGATGGAAATGTCATCAGAGAGTGTCTTTTCAAATACCAGCAGAAAAAAAAAAAAAAGAGGCTGATATAATGGGGGTGATGTGGGTCTTGGAAAACACTGGCCAAGTTTAGATGTGGCATTTTGATTTAGATTTTTCCCGCTTGGAACAACAAGATATTTTTCCTTCTCGGTGACAAAGACCTTGTGCTAGATCACCTAAATATGAGCCTGTCCTTAGAGCCCATACATGGCAGTGGCAGGATCTGTTCTCTGGCCAGGTTTTGAGGTAAGATAGATGTGTCTCAGCAGATGTCCTTCTGTTAAGAATTAGTGTGTTGTCATTTGCTGTCACAGGAGAATGTGGAGGAAAGACGAGACTCTACAACAGACCATCGCTGTGGCCATTTCTGGATGTGATGTAGTAACTGATCTTACTCCATGTGCTTGACAGATTGTGGCTGTGTCCATGGTGTCTGTGACAACAGGCCCGGCAGTGGGGGTGTATGTCAGTCCTGGTCCTGTAAGGAGGGCTATACAGGGAAATTCTGTGACAAGACATCTAAGAACTGCGGCCCAAGCGGGCTGTCCCAGTACTGCCACCAGAACGCTGTCTGCAGCCTCAATGACACAGCAAGGTCAGTCTTTCTGATATACAAATTCAGGTGAGTACTTTGTCACTGTAGGGTCACACAGTAGTTGTGAGGCTGCCAGCCCTGTACTGTGCACCTCTCTGAGTGATGGGCAGGATCATGTGTAATGCAGCCAACCTGCTGTGCTAGGAACCCAAGGCAGAAACATGCTGTGCTTGAACTGGCTTGGGCTGCCGTTTTGCCCTCTGCTGAGCGTCCAAAGCGGCTGCTCTCTGCAGTTTCTGTGACTTGTGACTGGTCTTCATGCATCCTCCTGCCTCAATACTGTGCTTATTTTGAAGATGCATCTGCATGGATGGATATGAAGGGGATGGGTTTTCCTGCCAGCCCATTGACCTGTGCAGTCAACCGGAGCGAGGAGGCTGCTCACAGAACGTAAGTGGGAAGATCACCAAAGCTCAGGGAAACGGCTCCTGTCCATTAGGAATGGGATCCAGGACACCCACAAGTGTGTTTTGTGCTAGTCTGGTGCCCGGCTTTCCCTGTCTGCATGAGCAGGTGCAGACAGTTACCTCAGCATAGTCGTCATGAGGATGTCAGCCACTTAGGTTGGTGCCAAAACGCAGCACCCCGGGGAGGGTTTGGCTGCTTTGCACAAATGTTTTGACAGCCACAGAGATTAACTGTCCAGATAGTTTTTGCTTTGTTTCAGTCTCCCTCTCAAGCTCTTCAAACGTGTGTTAGTGTCTCTGTTGCTGCATCCAGGCTGCAGCGTAGCGGGGAGCACTGACCCGTGCTTCTTGGTAACCACCAGTTCCACATTCTCATCCTTAGTAAAGAGCTGTGGGGAATGGAATGGGTTGTCCAAAAGGTGGGCTTCACCATAATTTAGAGCTCCCTCAGTGAGAGGAACACCTTTGGCCATGTAAAAGAAAATAGGATGGGCGTGGGAATGATTTAGATCATTTCTGGGAGAGACCGACATTTCCTTCCCACATGTCTAAGCAGAAGATTCTGGTCTACTCTAGGAAGTTTTTCTTCTGAACATTTCTTCTTTCTGAGAGCTTTACAGGACAGGAGGAATGTGTTGGGTGGTCTGACAGACCTATATGAGTGCCTGTGTAAAAACACTAAACATTTTCAGAATTGCTTTATCTCTATTATGAAATTGTCTAAGCACTTTCTGTAAAATCTGCCCCCACTGCATGCCCCCAGTGCTGGAATAAGAGTTGGTCATTCAGAAACTCCCCCTGCCCTGATGATGGAGCTGTGCTGCTGTATTTGCACTGCCTTCCCTCCCTCCAGCTGCTCAGGGCAAAGCTTTTCCTCTCCCTTCTCCCGAAGGCTCTGTGCACCAGTACAGGCCCCGGCACCGCCACCTGCCAGTGCAACAAGGGCTGGACCGGGGACGGGAAGGCCTGCGTGGCTATAGACAACTGCATGCTGGAGAGCAGAGGCAACTGTCACATCAACGCCGACTGTGTCAATATTGGCCCTGGCCAGGTATGGTCTATGCTAAAGAGCTTGTTGTTGGACTTGCATTTCCTAAGCTGCTCTATGATGGTGTGGGATTGCTAAAGGTAGGTTTGCTTGTGAGCTCTGCAGCAGGAACAGCAGCGTAGCCCACCCAAGGCTGCTAACAGGTGCTGAGGTGCACTGACATGCGACTCTCTACAGAAAACATATGCAGCTGCTCATATAGACATTGGAGGGAGCTGGGCTGGAGGCAGTTTTCTGGGAGAGGTGGCCTTTCATAGTAACACCCATTTCTGCCCTTTGAGCAAGGCAGGACAGGTCAAGAAAAGATGCCAAATCCGTAGCAGAGGTAAGGCGAGATGTTGCAAGTATCCTCCTAGATTTCAAAAGTGGGAGGCCTGAAAATTAGCTCATCTTCTCTTTTCACCATTCACAGACTCACAGGACAGTTGAGGTGGGAAGGGATCGTCTAGTCCAACCCTGCTCAAGCAGGGGCACTTAGCCAGCTTTTGAATATCTCCAAGGATGGACACTCCACAACCTCTCTGAGCAACCTGGCCCAGTGTTTAGTCACCGTCACAGTCACCCTCAGTGTCTTTCCTTAGATTCAGGCAGAACATCCTGCAGTTTGTCTCACAGTGTTTCACTGGTAGAGCTATTTTAATCAGCAAATGATGCTCTGGTAAGTCTGTAAAACAGAAATGTGTCTCTTTCTTGAAGAGCAAGTGTGTGTGCAAGAGGGGCTATGCTGGTGATGGCTACAACTGCGACGCGATCAACCCCTGCCTCCTGGACAACGGCGGCTGCCATGACTTGGTGAGTAGCTGTAGAGCTGCCCCAAGGTTGGCATGGCCATGGAGTGTGCTCTGCTCCGTGACAGAGGGTCTCCAGGCATGGCTTTGAGAGAACTGCACAGATTTACTGCTGGCACACCGGGGAGGTGTGGGTCTCACTGTAGAAAGGCAGAGGATCCTCTGCCTTTTGCAGATTTACACCACTGAGGAGTGAGGTGATGGCTTTGCTGCATAAGGAAAGAGTTTGCTGCCACCTCAAAGGTGGCTATAACAGGAAGAAGGTGCTTGGGTGGTTATTCCTCTATACCAGGCCAGAGAAGGCCAATATTTGATTCCTAGATAGGGGTAATTCTGTATGACCTGTGTTTGATCTGGAATCTCTCCTCTCCCTGTACTGGCAGGCTGTGTGCGAACCCCTTGGAGGAGGGGAGAGGTCCTGCGTTTGCCCTCCGGGCTACCTGGGGGATGGCATGACGTGCTATGGGGACATTCTCAAAGTGAGTAAAGAGCGGATGTCCGAGGTCTTCTTGAGATTAGAGGGGCACGGGTGTTCACAACAGGCAAAGTGGCCCAGAATAATGATAGCAGAAGCAGTTGACAGCTTCCTTTTTGTCAGTTGTGTTTTCTTTTAACTTTGGAGGCTGTTTCCATAGGATCAGGGAAAGCTACAGCCCCAACCTTTCCCTCATTCAGCTTCAAATGTGCGACCTGTGAGCAAGGCAGTGAGCAAGGCATGTTCGCACAGCTGTAAATAAGTCACAGCCTGAAAAGGGAGGTTCCTCTGGCAGATCCTCTCTCCTCTGGTCCTTTTAGGTGGTGCTGCCTAAGGTGCACCCTAAGGTGCTGCCTGTTTGCACCTTCCTTTTCTGTTACCCGCACTGACACCTTGTGCCACTGCCAGCATGTGTATGTGTCTGCCCAAGACCAAGGAGGAGGAACTGGGCCAACCCCAGGGTGTCTTAGAAGCCATCGACAATAATTTCCAAGCTGCTTCACGTCTGTCTGTGCTGTGCAATAAGCCATGTCTCCTTTGCTGTTTGCAAGGGTTTTTTTTCCTGATCAGAGCTAGCAAGGCCCTTTTTCTGCCATCAAAGTCTATTGTGGGCTAAGGCCCCTCCCTGGGAAACAGGAGCAATTGCAGAAAAGCTGAAAAGGGTTTGTTATTTGGGGAATTTCTTCTTTAAAATCTCTGGAGTTTCATTTCAGGAGTGCTCCACCCTCCCCTCCTGTAATTATTGCTGGATTTGAAATAGCAAAGGGCTCCTTTCCCCAGCCTGGGTGTCGCTGCCTGCAGCCCCAGGTAACCCGCTGTCATTTCTGTTTGGAAGGAGCTGGCCAGGAGTTCCAGCTTCGCGGGCTTCTATGACTGGATTAAGGTAAGAGCAGCCATGGGGTGCCAGCACAGGTAAGCCTGTAGATGTGAATGCTGCTTGTCTCTGTGTCAGGAGAGTGTGCTGTGCTGCTGCATTTACACTGTCTTTTTGCACACCCATCCTGAGCCTGCGAGAGCAGGATGGCAGCCAGAGCTGTTGGTTGTGTTTTGCAGTATAGATGTGGCACTGGCATGTCTTATTTGTTCATCTTTGTGCTTTGGACAACAGAAATCTCTCTTCAGCATCCCAGCAGGAACCAATGTCACTGTCCTGGTGCCGTCAGAAGCAGCTATCAAAAACTTGAGCAAGACTGAGAAAGACACCTGGTTGACCCCTTATATGCTCTCCTTTTTAGTCAGGTACGAAGGAAGACCTGTCTTTGCTTTCCTATGCCAAACAGCAGTAACACAAAGCCATCAGCTCGATTTCTGTTCATGCAAGCCCAGTAAAGAGTTATCTATCTTGGGATAAAACAGAGCCAAGTTAAATATCAAGCAGGCAAAGAAGCTACTCAACATTTGAAACATAATAGGTCAAGGAATTGGTAGTGGTTTTATTTTTCATGTATTTGCGGAGATATTTTTCCTAACTCCCATCAAGAAATGGACTACAGCAGGACAAGGAATTCCCTCTCTGTTGTTTTCTCCACGTGCTTAGCTTCTTGATGCGAGATGCATAGATCTTGGACTTCATGTTCTTACTTTCATTACAAATGGTGCCCTAATCTCTCCTTTACCTGCATGTGTCCCCTTCAGGGCCCACTTTCTTGAAGGTGTCTTCACTGGTGAAGAGCTCAGAAAGTGCAAGAGACCAGAATTACCAACCCTCAGCCCACAGATCAGATGGCAGATAAACAACAAGAGTGATGTAAGGCTTTCTTATGTAGCCTACATGGACCAGTATTGAATTAAACAGCTCAAGAGATGCTCTGCGCTGTGGGGAGCCTAGCAGGGACAGTGATGCCCTGAAATTCATGAAACTTTTTAAAATGGTATCCATATGCAGCCTTGAATGACCAGTACATCTGGTTTGCATCTGCTTGGCAAATTCTGATGCTCTCCCTCTGCTACTTTTGCAGGCATTTACCATTCAGAATGCAAGTATAGTGGTCAGCGACATCCCTGCCAGCAATGGCATTATTCACATCCTCAGTAAGGTAAGTTGGTATATGCAATATTGGGAAATGTTGCGGGTATTGCAAGACATTTGCATCTGTTGTGGGGGAAAAGAAGAATATGTGCATAGACATGTACAGGAAGGAATATAATGGTAAAAATACATTTGATTGTCACAAGGTCCTGACAGATGTTTCCTGTGCAGCAGTGTTGAACGTTCAAAGCATTTGTTACTGAGGCAGCACAGGAGTTCCTCTTCTTTTGGCTGATAAATGTAGACTTAAGGCTAGTGCAGAATAATGCTGTGAGGCTGTTTCTAGTTACTCTTCTGGCAAACAGGACAGGTGTCTAGTGTGATTTCCCCCAGCAGCCCCTGCCTGACCCAGCTGATTCACTTTTCCACAGGTTTTGCTGCCTCCTCTAGGAGATATCCCACCGAGTCCCCCAGATCTGCAGAAGCAGCTTGACACGGTCACCTCGTTCAGCACATTCAAAGAGTTGTTGCAGGTGTGTAGCTGGTGTGAACTCTATTGAATCATGGTTGTCACAGTCTTTTGAGCAAATGCCCAAGTTACCTCATACAGGTGGACTTAACAAGGACTGCCGTGTGATAAAAGGGGAGATCCTCTGAGTTTCCTCAGCATCATGGTCTAGACATATTCTATTGCACAGCTAAGGGATTAAATGCTCAGAGATAGATCTCTCTCTCTACATCTTTGGCATGTTGTTACAGTAGAAAATTTCTGTCTACAAACAGCCTGCAGCAGAAAGGCTGACATGGTTGAATACAGCAGAGAATCCTATAGGAGAAGGAAGGCTTGCTTCTAACCTTAAAAAAGCATTATTATCAACCCAGGGAGAAGAGCAGATGGAGATATACATGTCTGAGTGAAAGTTGTAATTTGTTATATCCAGTTTTCAGGCAGTTCTTCTAGTGCTCTTGATTTTACCTGCAATGCAGCTATAGTGAATATAATCGCTTATATGGCTGTTTGGACATTTTTTTTAGGAATATGAGCTCATTGGAAAAATTGAATCTGCTGAAAAATACACAGTATTTGTTCCTGGAAATAATTCCATTAAGGAGTACTGCCATGCTGCCAATGTGACACAGTTGGTAAGCACACTGCTTATGTACAGTCTGAATATGTATTGCAGTAATTGCAAGGACCTATATAATGTTAAATCCTAAACTTGAGTTCAGTGGATTTGAGTGTGGAGAGGAGGAGCATGGTTGATGAAAAAAAAAAAAAGTAGAAGAAATGTGACAGAAATGAGAAGGTTTTCTGGGTTGATGTAATGGGTGCTGAAGAGAGGATCTGGACTCCAGATGCTAATTTATGTGTGCGTTTGTACGTGGATTTCTGGCACTCCTCCTCCTGAGAAATCAGTGGCAATTTTTAACCTTTTGAAAGGTTAAACCATAAAACCCATGTGGCTTCACTTAGCAACAGAGTAGTAATTTATTGTTGGATGTGATGAGAAGTAACTGGGCTCTGTGAACTTAGTGGTTAGAATTGCTCAGGAACTCTTCTCATATACATGTAAATACCTCTAACTATTTAATTGCAGTTAAGGAATTCAAGAGCAGCCTAACTTTTGTTTTTTTTCTGTGGATTTAGGACATCGAGACAGTGCAGTACCATGTTGTACTGGGAGAGAAGCTCTTCCCTATGGATTTGAGAAGTGGAATCCATAAGAACACCATGTTAGGGTTCTCCTACTGGCTAATGTTTTACCAAAACAGCACCCAGGTAAGGAGGGAAGACTCTTCTGCCACTTGAAGATATGGCTGACATCGCTCTCTAAGGCTGGTGGCTGGAGACACTCATATCTGTTTTGGATGCCCATCAGGTCTCTGGACTGTGGCTCTTTGGTGGTAGTCTGTGCAAGTTGGTGGGCATCGTCTCAGCCCTTTCCTTCTCCTTTGCAGAAGTTCGTCAATAATATTCCTTTGGATGGAAAATTTTTTGAGACGAAGAATGGCATGTTAATTGGGGTTTCACAGGTCCTCCAGATACAGAAGAATCGTTGCACTGCCAATACCACCACCATACAAAAGGTAATGATGTTTACCAGTGAACCAACCACCATCTCATAGGGTTTCTTCATCTTCCAAAACAGGCAAACTGGTGAATAGCAGAAGACCTACCTTGTCTCCTACATATAGATGATACAGTAGCTTAGAGCCTGACCCCAAATGAGCTGCTGAACAGCCCTGCCTTGTACAAAACGGGACACCATGGAACCTTGGTACCTCTTGGCCTCACATCCAGTATTTCTGTATGTAGCAGATCTGCAGCTCTTGGGCTCTACATAGCTCCTACACAAATCAAGTTCAGTTTCCTTGCAGGGACTCTGTGACACTGCCAGCCACAGGTGAGACTGGTGCTCACCAAGTGATCAGTTGTGGAAGGAGAATCCATCCCAACGTTTGTGTGCTATGGCCACAAACATTCCCAGGAGAGGGAAATAATGGCCAGCGGCCAGTCCCTGCTTGTCTTGTGGCCATCTGAAGATCATGGGGGTCAGTCTGAGGCAGGTTTAGTCCATTAAAGATCAGGAAACAAAGACATGCAGCGCTGCAAGAAGCAGCTCTAGGCCTGTGGTAAGCCCTGCTCCAGCGCAGAGACTGGGAGGTCTACCATGAGGTCTCTTCTGGTTTCCTTTGTGGTGTGGTCTCACCCCAGAGTGCAAAACTAAGGCCTCGTGTGAAGCCCTTGATAGCAGCCAGGACCAGAGGGACTTGCATTTTGATTTCTCTTCGTTCAGTGTTTTGAGTTATGAACGCAAATATGTGGGTCTATGTGCCAGTCAGCAGCCTGTGCAGCAGCATTACCAATTGAAGATTAGTTTCCTGGTGTCACATGGGTGGAGGGCACGCATGTGACTTGTCTGTTCTCTGTGCCCTAGTCAAGATGTAACAAGTGCGAGAAGGGGATCAAGTGTCCTTCTGGATCAGTCCTTGTGGTGAGTCTCTGGTTAATGTGGTGTCTCACATGCTGTTTGCAGATAGTGCCATGATTTCCCTTCATTGCTCTGTAGAGGTCATCTCAAAACCTATACACATGTCCTGTGACTTGTTCCTCGTCAATGTTTGTAACAGAAAGCAAAGCCAAGGGAAAGTATGGGAGGTTTATGCTGGAAAAAGTCATATGTGGAGCACGGGGCTCCTTAGAAAGATGGAATCTGTGATTTGCCTCTATTTCAGGAGCCCTCCAGAGCATGCAGTGTGGTGAGTCCATTTAGTGTCCTAGAAAACCAGGCAGCCCAGGAGAGGTCTGTAACTGCCCTTCTCAGACACAGAGCAAAGTGCAGGACACTCTGGGAGGACGGAGAGCACCAGGAGGGCACATTCATCACTGGGGGGTGTGCTCATTAGTGAGACTGAAGAAGAGGAGGGCAACAGAGAGCAGAAAGAACAGACCTGTAGAGCGTTTCCAGAGCAGGTGGGCAGAGCTGGTCAGGACAATGCAGTCTGCACCCAGAACACTGCATTATCTGTTAGATATACTGTAATATATGATTTGTTTGACTAAATATTGTAATATTTTACTTATTTATGTTAATTTTATCTGCAGGAATTTCCAGGAAGCAAGAACCTGCCTCGCTGTGAACTACGCTCCGGGCTTACAACAACACTTGGCTGCTACTTCACCTGTGCAAAAGTTTCTCTGGTAAGAAAAGCATTTGCTTTGAATTCACTTGGACAGAAGCAAAGCAAGATCAGTGTTAGAAATCCAGCCCTTGAAATACGGCCTGTGCAGCAAGTCCCAGCTGACTTTGTGCCATTGCACAGCCAACACAGTGCTCGTCAGGAAGCTGCTCTCCAGCCTGGAGAGAGAGGGCACTGGAATAAAAACAAACACGCGGAAACGTCTGCGCACTGAGGAATTGTGGCCTTCTGCTTTGGTACTGCTGCTTTGGTTTTTGTCACAAAGAGGAAAAGGAGGACGTGAATGTCTGCAGTTGGTTTCCTAAGGAAATGAGGCACGAGTGATGGTATTTTGCTTGTGTGTGTTCCTTTCCTATTATCTGATGACTGATTGGAGACAAACTGAAAGGAGGAGCAGAGGGTTTTGCAGTTATTGTGAAAATGGGTGGCTGGGAGAAAACACTGGAAGAGAGAATGCTAAGGAAAAAGTTTGGGTGAATTTGACCCTTTTTAGACATGAAAACATTTCTCTGGAAAGTTTGGTAGAGTGACGAGAAGGAGAGAGAGGCATTTGGATGTATTGTACATACAGGGAGAGCTTTGGTCAGCACTTGCACCTCACTGGGAACTCACTCCTGAACCTCTTCATCTGCACTATCCAGCTCCATTCCCCAAGCCGTCACAGTTACCTGTTGCATCCCCATGCTAACTGGGATCAGCACAGTGTTCATTTATAATGACTTTTCCCCAATCTGTTCTCACTGGAGAATAAGACAGGGCACTCTTTCATACATTTGCTACACATTTTATATTGATATCTACTACAGATCTCTATGAAGGTAGCGTTATTTAATCTTGACAGAGGCTGTGCCTTTTCCTATTGATCTACCAGTGGTTCTTAGGGTTGAAGGTATTTGGGGGAGATGATATAAACAGACTTTTCATTCGTTCTCTTCCAAAATACAACAGCTTTTTTGCAGGTGACTGTTTGTTGTATGCACTATCCTTTTGAGTGGAGAAAAGGAAGAAAACTACCTGCACTCTGCTCTCCCATGCATTGACAGAACTGATTGCTGGCACACAGCCAAAGGGCAGCACCTTCCAGAATAAAGCACGCGGTGCTGGAGGATGTAGCTTGTGCCTCCTCACCTGTGCTGCACAAAATGGCTCATCCTGACCTGTTCTTGCTGGTTCCTTAGAGGTCTGTCTGCTGTCCGGGCTACTATGGACATATGTGCGAGATGTGCCCAGGGAAGCCAGGCCAGTGGTGCTCCGGGAACGGGGAATGCCAGGACGGCATCGAGGGCAGCGGAGAGTGCCGGTGCCTGGAGGGTTTCCACGGTACTGCCTGCGAAATGTGTGAAGTGGGACGATACGGAGCGGACTGCAAAGCAGGTGACAGCGATCGCCACTGCAGCTGGTGACTGCACTTAGGCCCACAAGGGGAGAAAAGTGCCTGTATCTTATCTGTCAAGAGGGGTTGTGGGGGGGAAAGAAAGTCCCAAGCCCTCTGAGACAGTCTAAAAGCTGCAGCTCACTGAGAGGAGGAGCGAGCACTTCTGGTCTGCCAACAAGTGGCCCCATTTTTCATCTGCAGAACCAGGTGTGAGTGACTGTGCTCTGTCACTCATCCTGCTGCCACCCAAACTGCAGAAAATAGAGGGACTCTGGGCTCCTTGACCTAATAGCAAGGGAGGAAGAGCTGATAATTCCTGCAGTGTTTTCCTTATGGCAGCTAGATGCCCTGGACTATGAACACAGGGACACAGTAGCCAGCAAGGCAGCACTTTCTGTATGTCCTGGCTGGTTTAAGGGTGATGACCACTTTATTTTCTCCCTGCAGAATGTGCCTGTGACAATGGTATATGCAACGACGGCCTGCAAGGGGATGGGAGCTGCGAGTGTTTCCCAGGCTGGACGGGCCCTACCTGCCGAGAACGTACGTGACCCTGAGGGGCCCGCGGGGTGATAGTGCCTGTCTGGTAGAGACATGTGAGTGATTCCCTTTCGTTTCCAAAGCAATTCTGTGATAGCTCAGGCAGGTGACTACAACTGCATGTGCTCTTGGCCCATGGTAAGTGCTTGCGCCCTATGGAAAGCTTGCAGACTCTGGTACTTCAGTCCTGCACGTAAATCGTGGTTTCAGACCTTGTTTTGTTCCGACCAGTGTGGAGGCCATTCAGGTAGGATTTAATTGAATCATTACCTCAGATAGAGAGGATAGAATCTACGCTCTTTGCATAGCACCAGAACATGGTTCAGCCACCACACAGGACACACGAGTCAATATGGCTGTTGGTGTGTCCTGTCATCAGTCAGGGCACCACAATCAGGGCAATGGAGCTATTTTGCAGGATATTTCACTCTAGATGGCAGAAATGGATTGAGCAAGCAGTAAACTGAAAATTCCAAGTCAAGTTTTTGTTTTCTCTTGCAGTAATTGAGATTGACTTATGCAATAACACTTGTCATCAGATGGCCAAGTAAGTAGAGCCAAGGGGCTGGATCATTCTGAGAAAGCATGTGTGTGTGTGTAACTGATTTACAACTGGGTGACTTAGTGTTTGGGCATTCGCAGAGAGCTCATTAAAGTACACACACTACAGAGACTTTCCGGCTCTGATTCTGGCCAAACCAACGTGGAAAGTCATGTCCTTCTTCAGTGCTGCTATTGTGTCCTTGGGTGGGTAGGACCTTTGAAATGGCAGGACACTTCCTCTGCTGAGCACAGCCCCATTTTCTGGGTATGTTTGCCAGTCTGTCTGTTGCACTTCAGGTAACATGGAATGTCTGGATTCATTCTCTGGTACTGTAAAGAGATATTCAGCCACTGCAGATATGTTCCTCTTCCAGCCTCATCTCGCTGTGGACTCTAACCTCCACCTGCCTGACTTGTGTAGTGTGTGTTTCCCACTGTTAAAGCAAAGCAGAAGATGTCAGTGACTGCTTTGCCTTTGCTTGTTTCAGCTGCCTGAATGGCTCAGCAGACTCCCCACCGACTTGCTCCTGCTCTGCTGGATACACGGGCAATGGGACCCATTGCACAGGTATGCCCCTGAAGTGTGGACAAGATCCAGGCTTTGCAAATATAGGTCCTGGTTACACAAATGGAAGGGTTTTGTTTGTGAAATGCTGGGTACAATGCTGCTAGGAGAGCGATCATTCCAATCTTCTTCCGCCCAGCCATGCACCAGTAGGCCTGCCATGGTAGAGAGGCTTTTCAGTCTGGAGCATCACACAATTATTTAAGTTTAGCATGACGTTTAAATGACCATCTCTCAGATTTGGATGAGGACCAAGGGGTTTTAATAAGATGCTGTGATTTTTGTTAAGACAGATGATTGTTCTGGTACTGTTTATCTTCTCCAGATGCTCTGAGCTGATTCTGCTTCTCTTGTTTCTGGTTACAGAAATAGATCCGTGCACTATTGATCATGGTGGCTGCTCCATACATGCTGTGTGTACTAAAGTGTCCCCAGGAGAGCGAACCTGTGTTTGTAAGGAAGGCTACGCTGGAGATGGGACACTCTGCATGGGTGAGCTCGGTGCTTGTTCTGGTGGTAGTGTCAGGGCACCATGCATAAAGGAGCTTCAGTCAGGTTAAAGCACTGAATTCCTCATGGTCCTTTCAGTCTGTCCATGCATTTCAAAGCCAGTAGCTGTTGGTTCACTGTGTTTCAGCCTTGTTTCTGCTTTTTGGAGATGTGTGCACATGCCCAGGTGTGCGTGCTCAGCATCTCCCTAGGCTGTGGTTAACCAAGGGATCATCACTGCTCTGGCAGAGCTTCACCCAAAACTGGGAAGAAAGACCATGCTGCCCCTGTAACCCATTCTGCTAGGTGGCCTCAAAGGTATAAGGGCAGCACCCCGAACAGCCCTGAGGGGTTTCTTGCTCTGGCACATGTCACGGGGAGACAGAGGGTGAGGACAGTCTCCCAGGGTGGTGGCTCTTGAGATGAGGATGGAGCTATGGGAGAATTTGGTCCTCTCATCCTGTAAAGCAGATTCAGACAGATGTGGGATTTGGTTCCTCATTCTTCCCCTTTTACAAGTCATCAGTGGAACAAGTCGTTTTGCCGCCAAGATGTTTGCCAGGCTGGGAAGATCCCTCCTGCTGCTTAGCCCATATTCTTTGGATCCAGTTCCCAGCTGCCTTGGATATCACTCAGTGGTAATGTGTGGTTATTGTTTTGATGCAGAGATTGATCCCTGTCTCGAAAGCAACGGGGGGTGTCACACCAACGCCGAGTGCATTAAAACAGGCCTGAAGAAGGTAAGTGCCTGCAAGGGATGCCAGGGCAACATTATTATGGAAGTGGCCAAAGCTGTGTTCATCTCTCAAAGAAAGACAGTCCTTTCCATGGCAATGCCCTGTCTTGTGTTTATTCCTTCCACATTGAAAACTTGCCTGGGAAGGACATGAAAAGATGGCTGTTTCCACAGAAGGGGATGGCTGCTTTCTGGAGGCTGGATTCAGTCTATGATTATTTTTGTTGTTGACACTGGTTATCCATGAAGGAATGGAGTGTGTGGTGAATGAGATGCTACGTACTTTCCATGCAGCTCAGCCATTGCATATTTTCATTGTGGGGTCCAAGCATTCAAACTGAACATCTGTTCTCCCTTCAGGTTGCCTGCAACTGTCTTCCTGGTTACAGTGGGGACGGGGTGAGCCAGTGCAACCCCATCAACTTGTGTGAACAGGTTTGTCTGCATTTTGCTATAACTAGGATGAGGCCAAAGCCTAAGAGTGTCTTTTGATTCCAGCAGTTAACAAGAACAGAGTTAGCTTGATTTTTTTTTCTTTTTTTGGTTAGAGCTGGCTGTCTTATCTTTTTACATACCTAAAGGGCTTCCAAGTATGCTTGGTTTCCTTCCACTCTTACACCAGTCCACAAATGTCTCAGCCACTTCGCACTAAGACAGGGCTCCCCTCTTGTGATAGCAGCAGTGCAGAACCAATGACGTTAGAGACATGTGGGTTCTTCATATATGATTTTTTCTTTACATCCATCTTGTGCAGATTGTGGTTATTTTTCTACTCAAAAGCTAAAGAGTAATTTGCACTCATGCCATTTCTGCCAGGTTAAAAAAAATCTCTTTGAATTGTGTTTTTTGTCATGACTGTGGCCTCATGGAAGTGCCAATGTCTTACTTCATGGTAGAATTTCATGCCCTTGGGGAACTGGGCAGTATTTATTGTAAGGTGCTATTTAGATGGCAAGGTTTCTTTTTGACTGGGCTCCAAGTAGTTAGCAGATCCCGAACGTGTCCACCAAAGTGCTGGTGATGCACCTACACGCAAACCTTCTGCCTTTGCTGCTAGAACAACGGGGGCTGCAGTCCCTTCGGGCTCTGCAAGTACACAGGACCTGGCACTCGGAATTGCTCCTGCCCTTGGCACAGCGTCGGAGACGGCTTCACCTGCCGCGGCAAAGTGTACCAGGTGAGATACATGCACGGTGGCTTTTGTTGTCACCTGCCCCACAGGAGACCATTCCCCCCACCTTCCCAGCCAAGCAGCAGGTGGGCAAACCTGTAATGCCATACAGCAACACTTGTGTGTGGTGGAGCAGTGAAGAAGGGCATTCTGAAGGAAGCTACCCATAAATTCTGGGACTAAAGAGAAGGAGACTCAGTTTTGTTTCTGCTCTTGCTGAAAGTTAATGTGGTGAGCAGAGGTTTTGCCCTGCTTGGCCTATGCCTGCCACTCTGGGATGGTCATCCCAAAACTCACAGCTGTGGCAGAGAGAGGCTGAAGTGGGTGTTTTGTGAAGTGCTTGAGATGTCCCTTGAGCAATGAGGCAGTTCAGCCTCTAAGGCAGCCCCTGCAGAACCGGTCAAGTTTCATCTCTTAGCAATTCCCCTCCTCTCCATCTTGCAGTTTGTCCTGTGTGAAAGGTCCAGACACTTGAAGTATCTTCAGGGTGAAAGGTCCAGGCTCACTGCCTGTTTTGTCATCTGTGTCCACTGTGGTGGCTGTTGCATGGGAGGGAGGGAGGGAAAGCTTGCTATCATCTCACTATGTATCTGGAAAGCCAGTGTCTTGCTGGGATGGGAGAGTGACCTAGAGTGGAAAGAGAGGGTCACTGTGCTGGATGGCGAGGTTCTGTGGATGGGACTCTGCTAACATGAGCTCTTTTCTTTGTTTAGGAGCTCGCAAGGATTGAAGGCTCCTCCACGTTCTTTAAGATGATACTGGTTGGTGACAGAAACAACTTTGTCCTTATCTGTACACTGGAAATCCCACATGGTGTTTCCTGCTAATGGAAACCATGTTTTTTGTGTTTTTGTTGTTGTTGTTGTTGTTTTTCCATTCCTACCAATGATGTCCCCTCTGCTATAGGAGGAAAAGATGAAGGAGCTCAGTGGGGCAGGGCCTTTCACTGTCTTTGTCCCAAGGATGGATCTCATAGGAAACACCACAGCAGTGAGTGTCTTCTCATCCGAGCAGTTTCAGAGGTTTGGCAAGCTGCAGTAATGGCAATGTCTCCTCTGGGGGTATCCCAGGCCCTGATTGACAGAGTCTATGTAACTGTCTAGCCTCTATAAAATGGTCTAAATTCTGCTCTCTGTAATGTTGCCTGAAATTTCCCAAAGTTCTCAAGTGCATTTGTGTGTTCGGCATGTTTGGGGTGGGGGAAGATTTTCCTGTAGGGAGAGATTAGAGGGATAGGCCAAGCAAAAGGATTTAGGGCAATCCGGGTCTCCCTCATCAGGACTCTGACCTCTCCAATCCCTCTCCCCACTGCCAGCCCCTTCTGTGGCAAAGTGCTCCCAGTGTGAGCTCAGCGTTCCTCTTCTCTCTCCATAGTTCAAGGAGTGGAAGAGCAGAGGCCTCCTCAAGGAGCTGCTTCGCTACCACATGGTGGGTTGCCAGAAATTGATGTCCAGCGATCTGGAAACCCAGGAGTCCCTTACATCTTTATCAGGCCATAAAATAAGGATTACGTCAAAAGAGGTAGTCCTCTGCCACACTTTGCTCTTTACTTCCCTGTCCTGCATAGCAGGACCTCATTTTTGCTGTCAGTTGAAGACCACCAAAGCCGTGGCTCACGGCATGGTGCCCCAGGGCAGGAGTACCTCATCACATCCCTTCCCTTTCAGAATAGCATCCATCTCAATGAGGAAGCTACACTTGTTTCTGGTGACATCGTTGGCGTGAATGGGGTGATTCACTTCATCAACAAGATCCTCATCCCAAGCGACCTGGTGGAACATAACGTTTCCTCAAAGATTTCACAAGTAAATGTCGAGCAATAATTGTGCCCTAATAACAGCCTTGTTGAGGACAGGACTGGTATCTTTCCCAACTACTCTGATGCTACTGTCACTGATAAAATCTCTCTAAGGTTGCATGGGATGCTCCACTTTTCATGTTCCCATTTGTGCAAGGGATGTCAGAGGGCATGGGTCTGACTCTCGGGAGTAATAATATTCTCAGCATGGCAATATTTGGGTCAGAAGGAGTCGTGATGATGACAGAGAGAAATTTGTCATCACGTTTAGATGCTGTGCTTGTTAACTCTGCTGCATTCCTCCTCCAGGTCCCAGAGGGGACTGCCTGCTGCCAGGTAGAAACAAGCTCCCCTGGGCAGAGTTAGCCAAGGGTGCTGTCAGCCTCCGTGCATGGCAGGGGAATCTTCCTCATTTCCAGATGAAGATGAGAGCTGATTTGACCTGGTCCCTGCCTAGGGGGGAGCTGTTCACTCTCTGTGAGTTAGTTTTGCCCCTAACTCAGCAGTTAAACTGCTGACCTATACTGGACATGCTGGGGTTTGTGCTGGATCCTCAGTGTCCTGCAGGACTGCTGCAGTTGTCTGTGGAGAGGGCCTGTGACTCAAGGCAAACTGGCAAGGTGACACTGGTTTGTTTGCTTTCTTCCTTCTCCAGCAAAATATCATGGAGGTGGCAGAGGCCTTTGGGTACACCATTTACAGCAAGCTGCTAAAGGTGAGCTGCCTGACTCCTGCCTGGGGACTGGGTGTGTATGTGACATTATTTATTTTGGGTTTGTTGCTTTTTCTTTGTACCCCCTCTTGCCTTGGGCAGGATGCGGAGCTGCTGCCCCTGATTAATGACTCGCTGCATAGACCCTTCACCATGCTGTGGCCCACAGACGCTGCTTTTAACGCCCTCCCAGAGCAAAGGCAGCGGTGGCTCTACCGCAGAGAGCATCGGGATGTGCTGGCCTCCTACCTCAAAGCGCACATGATCAGGAACACAAAGGTAAATGTGACAACACGCAGGCTCTCGCCTCCTGAGGGCATATGTGGGGCCACCACGTTCCTATGGTTATGCCTGAGTGACCTTGCCCAGTATTTTGCTCCTGTAGGACATGCTAACATGTAGCATGTTAGTCGTCTTGAGAAGACCCAAAGCTGAACTGACCCCAGTGAAGGGTCTGCTCTTTGGGCACCAACTGCTGATACAGTGTGGTTGATGTAAAAACCTTCTCGCATCAGTTACTTGGGTAAAAAACCAGCAGCTACAGGCACTCACAGCAAGCTTCACGACAGGCTAAGCTCTCCTCTTGTGTATACAGGAGATGAACAAGGAAGGGGTCCAGCTGAGCAAAACCAGGTTCTTCCACTGTTGAGGAAGCTGGACTAACCCATCAGTTAGGTCATTCCACCCACACCAGCTTTACATTAGCCATGTCACACCCCCTACTCACTGTGTCTGCTGGCCCTTGCTCTCACAGGACAGCATCCCCATTTAGAAATATGAACCGCCAGTTTTGCCTGTCTCTCCCTTCATGTACCTTTTCCTTCTGGCTCTCACACTCATTTTCCCTCTCAGATTGTTGCTGGTAACGTGCCCCAGGTCGGCTCTGTACGGACCATGCACGGCTCTGCTGTCTCATTCAGCTGCAGTGAAACCCAGATTGTGAGTGTTGGTGACCTGGGCTCTGCTTGCCAACGAGCGAGTGTCGCTGGGAACAGCCGTGGGGTGACTGGTCACCAGTGGGAAATGAACCCGGAGCTTGCAGGCTGGGACATCCCATTCCCCTGGCTGCAGCCAGCCCTGCAGGGGGGTGTGACTCTATGGCCAGCGGGCAGAAAAGCTGCATGTGCCAACCACATGACAACAGCCTTTCAGAGCATGTGGTGCATGGACAGAGGCTGTTTCTTAGGAAAGGTGGATCTAAACGACAGCAGTCGGGAAGGGAGGTTGAGGCAAGAGAAGGTACGCGTGAACACAGAGATTTTAGAGAGGTCTTGTCATGATTGAGAAGTCATGGCAACCAAAAAGGATGACCTATGGTTGGTGCAGCCAGGATGTAGGATATGCCAGGATCACAAGCCCCTTTCTTTCTCTTGTAGGGGGAGCTTCTGGTGGGGAATGGCGATGCCATCATCATCCAGAGGCACATGGAGTTCGATGGGGGCATTGCTTATGGCATCAATAGGCTGTTGGAACCACCAGATCTGGGGTCTCGGTGTGATCAGCTCATCTCTATCAAGCTGCATGTAAGCATTTATGATGTTGCCAAGGAGGTTCTGTGCCACCTGTGAAGCCCTGTGTCTGGGAAGAGGGATATTGGCAGGGCTCACTGCTCTTCCTCAGCAAAGCTCCAAGCAGCTGAGAAAAGCAGAAATGGATACTGAGTTGTTCCGGTGTTTCTGTCTTCCCTCTGCAGGAATCTCCAAGGAGCTGTGGAATCTGCGGCTTCGAGCCACCCTGCCCTGCTGGTTCAGTTCAACAGGTAAAGCTCACAGCTTTGGCAGCCAGGGAGGCCCAGTGTGTGGCCAGCAGTAATACACACATCTTGCTTGTGCTTAAGCAGCCAAATAAAGGAATGTCTGCATGTGCTGAGGTCGCTTGGTCATGGTACCTGGCCAAAGGCTGCATGATCTCTTAGGCCAGGAGCTAGACTGAGCAACATGAGGTCAGGGGCCTCCAACGTCCTTGCCTGGCTCATCCCTTTGGGTGACAGCAGCTGCAAGGTCCAACTTCATACCTGCAGCAGCACGGGGAATTTTTCTGATTGTGTTACAGCAAGAGAGCTCATCTTGTTTGTCTGAGGGGAGGTGGCTTATCAAGATAGTGAACAGCCTGGGGGGGGCAGTGGTTGTACCCCACTCTTGCTGTAGTAGCACAGCCCACTGCGTTCCACAGCCTCTTGGCATGTTCCTGAGGTGCATCCATGGTTTCTTTGTCGGCAGCCTCATTGCACATGATTTCTTGTCATAAAACTGAGTGAGAAAACAGAGGCCAAGGTGAAGAGTCAGGGACATGGCATCCCGTGTCCGATGTGGCAAACTCTGTGTTTTGCCTGTTTCCTCACAGGGGGAAACCAAGAGCTGCCTCTATAATGGAAACCAGCTCAGAAACACTTTTCTGCTTCAACTCAACTCTCTGGTGCGGCCGTCCTGGCAGCACTCCCCGTGGGAGCCCTTCAGAAGGCCCTTCTTTTCCAGGGAGCCTCTGAGACGAGGCTGCAGGAAGAGCTGTGTAGCCATGCAGTGGGTCCCTCAGTGCTGTGCGAACCACTATGGCCCTGACTGTCGGGGTAAGGAGTCGAGTGACCATTTCCCACGCTGGTCCTTTTCCTCATGACGTTCTTAGTTTAGCACTTACCATCTCTGGCATCCGTGAAGGTGCTTCCTGGGGAGAGGTGGCCACGACCCTCGGGATCACAGCCTTTCCCGACACATGCAACCGTTAGCAAGGAGCCCTGCGCTAGACTGTGCAGAGAACAATCTGCTTGGATGGCATTGTAGTGGGGAGGTCCTTTTCCTCAGAGGAACACAGCTGCCTGTGGACAGACTGGGCACAGGGCTGCAGGGAGGTGGCTACCAGAAACACGCCTCGCCCCTGCGTGTTTCAGGTGCTCGGCCATCCCCAAGCACCTCCCCTCTGTGCTGCACACATGAACAGCTTTCCCGCAGGGATAGATGTGTCCTCCAATGAGTGTGTAGTCAAGTTAGCAAGAGAGCACTGCTCAGTATGTTAGAGCAGAGGATCAGCCCAGCCTGGAACCTCTGCCAGATTTGCTCCTCTTACCCCTGTTCCAAGGGGATAAGAAAGGTGTATTGATTCAGGAGCTCCCTGGCTTGGAGTCTGAGTTTCCTCAAGGACCAGCAAGCAAGCAGCTTATACAGTGCCCGGGCCAGGAAAGAGGGGCAGCCTGCATAGGGTCGCTTTGTCACTAACCACCTCACTATGGTGCCCCATTTGCAGCGTGCCCAGGAGGGCTGGAGGCACCATGCAACAACCGTGGCACCTGCGATGACAAAATTCGTGGCTCGGGAAGATGCAACTGCAGCCAGGCTTTCATTGGGACCAGCTGCGAGCTGTGCGCTCCGGGCAGATATGGGCCAGACTGCAGAGGTAAGGGGGGAGCCTGAGCAGCACCAGCAGCACAGAGGGTTTCTGGGGAAGTGGCTGAGCCCCGCAGTGCTGCTGGGAGACGTTGGAAACACCCACTGCTTTTTACTGCTGAAAGGTCCTGTGGTGATCAGCTTGCCCTATTGGAGTCAGGGCGCTCATGAACACATCAGTCCCCACAACACCGAGTTGGAGCTCTAGGGCTGCCCCTCTCAATGTGGGCTCTCTACAGGGAGCCACCGCAGCTGCGGTTCAGGTAGCCCATGCCAGGAGCTTCATGCAGTCGTATTGCCAATGGCCTCTGCCGAGACCTGGGGGGCAGACACCTTCTCATTTGCTGTGTGAGGAACCCCATCCTGACACATGCACTATGGCACACATTGAGCTGGGGAACAAGTGCGTACGTCATGATGAACCCTTTACTGGAAGAGCTGCCCATCCTGGCGTGTGCTCAGGAAGGACAATGGAGTCTTACCCACCAGAACTGGACCTTATGATGTCCAGCTGGGTGTGCCGGAACATTTTTGAGCACTTCGGAGTTGCAGGCACTCAGAGTGAGAAAGCACCTACAGGAGTGGCAGTGGAGGGGAGTGATGGGGACTGGTGAGGGCAGAGACTTCTCCTGTGTGAGGCTTGTGCCTCAGGGGGCTGGCAGCAGTGGGACAGGATGTGTGTGGTGCCATGGCTGCCCCACAGTGTTTCCCGTTGTGCAGCCCCATGGCCCGCGCTCTGAAGGGCGGGGAGGGGCGCTTTCACTGCCATTGAAGCAGATGCTGGCACGCTGTTGTTGTCCTCTCCTCACAGAATGTAACTGCACTGAAAACGGCGTGTGCAATGGAGGCCTCCATGGGGACGGCTTCTGCTTCTGCGCCGAGGGCTGGACTGGAGAGCGCTGCGAAATCAGGCTAGGTGAGGGCTGCCCAACCCCAGCACTGCCCAAACCCCGGCCTCCCACTTCCTTGTGCTCATGCGGACGCGTGCACGGTCTGCTTGCAGTCACAGCGCCCGTCTGCTCGCCACCGTGCCATCGCCAGGCCACCTGCCGCGCCGGCAACCTGTGTGAATGCAACCCACACTACGAGGGCGATGGGAGAACGTGCTCAGGTAGCGAGAAGCCATGAGGGGTCAGGGTCAGGGCGGACAGCAGGGCAAGGCTGCGGGTGACCGTGTCCCCAGCCACTCCTAGGACAAGGGCTGTGTCGGGGGGACACTCTGCAAGACGGCCAGGCCGCTGCAGGACCTGGCAGGGCGTTTAGGTCTCCAGACATCGGCAGCTGGTTTCCCCCAACTTGTTCCTCCCTTTTTCAATGAGGAAGGAAGGACTGGAAGGAGGTGGGAGGACAGGTCCCACCAGTGACCGAGAGGCCCCACGCTGATACCTCTGTCCCCTGCAGTGATCGACATGTGCAGCACTGACAATGGCGGCTGTGCCGCGCACGCGCGCTGCACACAGGTCGGCGTTAACGTGTCCTGTGCCTGTGCGCCTGGCTACCAAGGCGACGGCTACGTCTGCGAGCCCATAGACAGGTGCACGGATGGCAGGAACGGGGACTGCAGCGAGCACGCCACATGCATCAGCACCGGGCCAGTGAGTGCAGCCCGTGCTCGCGGGGAGCTCCGCGCGCTGGGGAGGGTGGTGGGCGAGGGCTGTTTGGGAAGCAGGAGGCCAGCAGGGCAGTAACAGCCCCTGCTCTTTTGGTGCCCACACCGCTCCTCCTTCCCGTTCCCCGGAGCTCCCAGCCTGCCTGGCAGCAGGGCTGACGCCCCAGGTGCTGCAAGGCTGCAGCAAGAGGCTCCTGCTGCTGTTGTGCTGGGGCTGCCTCTCCCTTCTCCTCTGTCCAAGCATGTTGCTGTGCAAGAAACACGAGCTCAGCCGTCTTGTGGCAGATTCAGCGCAGGCTTGCTTGGTTCTTGTGCGTTTGCAGCTGGATGTGGGGTGGCACAGAAGCCACGTGGTCTCCTGCAGCTCTCGCAGGCCTGGCAGGCTGTGGGGGTGTGCGCCAGGCTCACCCCCAGCTTCCCACAAGGCCAGGGTTCCCCAGCTGCTGTCCGCACGCCTGCACACGCATATGACTGCCAGCCTTTCCCTGTGTCACAGAATGAGCGGCGCTGTGAGTGCAAACAGGGCTATGTCGGCGACGGGATCCAGTGCTTGGAAGAGGCTGTGCCCCCCACGGACCGGTGCCTGGAAGAGAACGGGCAATGCCATCGGGAGGCCATTTGCACTGACCTGCACTTCCACGGTGAACATGCTCAACGCTACGGTGCCAATGCAGGGTGGTGCCTTAACCATCACCTTCTGTCAGGGGCACTTCTCATAAGGGATTGACAGCTGGGGGGATGAGGGGCCAGAAATGCATCTTTGTAGCTTGGTCTGGTCTTCACATTTCCCCCCTCCCCCCTCACCTTTCTCCCTGCATGGCTCATGGTGGAGGATGAGTTATCCTGTGTGCTTCTATTTGCCAGGCCTGAGGTGGCCTCCAGTGGGATGGTGCTGTTGTAAGCACGAGCTCCCTGAGCACCTCGCCCCATGGCAGAGAGCTCAGCCACACTACTGCTCCAGGGAGAAGAGTGCTCATTTACTGTGCTGTCCTGACAAGCCCTGGCCTTGGTGTTTTGCAGATAAAACTGTGGGCGTATTTCACCTGCAGTCAGCCTGGAAAAAGTACGCCTTCACTTACGAGCAGGCGCAGAAGGCCTGCGCGGCGGAGGGGGCTTCCCTGGCCACTTTCCAGCAGCTCTCGGCAGCACAGCAGGTCAGGGCAGGGGTGCAGCAGCGTGGGAGCCAGCGCTGGAGCTTTGTGGGGCGGGGGACGTGCGCGGCTTTGCTTTGTGTCTGGTTTGGAGGTAGCAGTGGTGGTGGTGGTGGCGGCGGGGGGGGGCTTCCTTAAACAGCATGTACAGCCTTTACTCGCAGAACCAGAGGTTTGTTGGCAGGAATCACCACACAAGACTTCTGGCAATATCCAGCCCTTTAGCTGCCAGGGGAGTGCGGCATAATCGCATCAGGGCAGAAGAGCTGGGCTGGAGGGTTCACTGTTAACGTGATGGCCTGTTTCCTCCCCTAGATGGGTTTCCATCTGTGCTTGGTGGGGTGGCTGGACAACGGCACAGCTGGATACCCTACAGCCTACCCCAACCCCAGCTGTGGAGCCAATCGAGTGGGAATTGTGGACTACGGCTCCCGGAGCAACCTGAGCGAGACCTGGGATGCATTCTGCTACCGGGAGAAAGGCGAGTGCCACGAGCCAGCGCGCGCAGGCAGCCCCGGATCACCACAGCTCTGCGGGACAGCTCGGACACTGCACTGGGGCTGTCTATGGGGACATGGTCGTGGCTCAGGGTGAAGCAGGACGTGTCGTGGCTATGGCGTCACCCTCAGCAGAACGCCGAGCCCTCGAGCCAGGCACAGGAAGCACCTTGGGGCAAGGGGCAAAAACTGCCCTGAGAGCATGAGGCAAATGGGGCGCAGGGCACAGAGCTCCTTCTCCTCATGCCACTGTTGGGAAGGAACTCATAGGCACCCCAAAGTCAAGGGGAGGGTGGTCAGTGTAGCCACCACAGGTAAGTAAAGTTGCACCGTGGTGTTTCTGTGCAGATGTGGTTTGCAGCTGCCGTGACGGGTTCGTGGGAGATGGGTACTGGTGCCGCGGCAGGCTCATGGATGTGCTCGCAGAGCACGAGCGCTTCTCCACCTTCTATTCCGTAAGTGATGCCCTCCTGGCTCTCCAGGAAGGCAGCAGGCGAGAACAACGCAGACGGAGGGAATAAGCGTAACAGCAGGGCAGAGCGGGTGGCTGGGCCACTGCCAGGTGTAGAAAGCATTTTCCTTCCAAGACTTGGGGCAGTTCCTGGAGGCGGGGGGCAGTGGTCTTGAGCGTGCGGAGGGGCAGAATCTGCTCTCTTTTCCAGATGCTGCTTGATTTTGCCAATGACACAGAACAAGGACTGGACTTTTTCATGTATTTGTCTGATGACTCTGCGCCCAAAACTCTCTTTGTCCCTTTGAATTCCGGCTTCGCAGACAACGAGGTAAGCAAGCAGTGAGGAGTGGTTGGTGAGTGGGCACGGAACAAGCTCTCGGAGCTCCAGAGCGCAGCAGAAGTTGGCATTATGGTGATGTGGAGTCAGAATGATTGAGAAATTTAGGTGAGAAGGATCCTCTGGAGGTCTTTGGGTTACTGCTCCCAACCCCACCATCCCCACCCAGAGCAGAGCCCTTCAGAGGGGGTTGCTCAAGGCTTTCTCCAGGCGAGTTGTATGTAGCTCTAAGGACTGTGATACTCCCCTTCTCGAGGTAGTTGTGGTTGGTTTGTTGCAGCATGTTGCTCAAACTAAGCTGTCCTCTGGCCTTGGAGAGTGTCTGGACTTAGGCCACAGGGGGTGCATAGAAAAGGAACAGAAGGGAAGGGAGGAGGTGTCTCAGCCTTCTCCCATCCCGGTTGCTTTTTCAGACACTGACAGGAGAAGAACTGAAGCTCCATGTCTCATCCAGCAACATCATGCTGTTCAGCTTCAACCTTACAACAGGCACCACCATCCCTTCCCAGTCAGGATACAGCCTCCACATCTCAGACCTCCACAGGGAGAATAACACAGAACACACAGTAAGTTTCCCTCTGAAGAGGGTAAAATGAAATCCTTGGGGTTTTTGCCATGTCTTTTTTGAGAAAGGGAGGAAAGTGGAGGGTTTCTGATGAGGTGAAATCATATCTTGTGCTACAGGAAAGCAAGGGGATCAACGACACGCTGATTGTGGAGTGGGACATCATAGCGTTCAACGGTATCATTCATGCAATTGCAGAACCACTGAGGATCCCAGCGCCCGTGGTGCATCTGGGGCAGGTGAGCATTTGACAGTGTGAACGGGGAAAGATCATCTTGTTTTTAGTGCAACAAGGCTGGGGAGCAGAGAAGAAACAAGGAGCTAATGTGCCCCCAGGACCTGGCTATGGGGCACGGGTCTGCAAGTTGTTGTCAGGATGTTGCCCAACGTCATGCTGGGGAGCTCCCCGCAGGGTGCTTGGCCACGGAGCGCCCTGAGCGAGCCCAGGGCTGGGCAGGGGAGCAGGGGGACTCGGCCACTGCCTCTTTTTGCAGGTGAACAGCGTGGCGCAGTCCTCGAGCTCCGTGGCCGCTGGCACGCTCTCCGCACTGAGCTTTGCGCTGGCCCTGGCTGCGGGCGCTGGCGTCGCCTATTACTGCATCAGAAGGCGGCGCCACGATGAGCAGTTTGGGTATTTCCAGGTGAGCAGCAGCCGGGCTGCAGGGAAGGGCAACCCCCTGCCCAGGGCAGGTCCTGCCAGGGCGGGCGGTCCCTTGCAGCCCCAGCAGTTACAAGGACGAGCTTTTATCGCCCTCGCGGCCCTGTCCCGACCCCGCGCTGCTGGCACCCACACACCCGCGGGGCGTTCACAGAGAGCGACCACCTCATGAGGCAACATGACGCACGTGCCCGCTGCCCTGCCCAGCCAATCATGCGCCTCTCTGCCAGGTGGACTGGCCCCACCCCCTGGTCATCCAGCCAATCCCATGCCTTCTTTGCAGGCCGACCTTCGTGAGGAAGAGGAGCCGCAGCAGGAGAGGGGGCGGCACCCCACCAGGCCCCGCCCCTCACGGCCACTGGTTGCCATCCCCAACCCGCTCCGCGTGCCCCGAGCCCCACGCGCTCACCATGCTCATGCACGTGAGCCCCATGCCCGCGCATACCCCGCTCGTGCATGTGAGCCCCATGCCCCCACGCGCTCACCATGCTCATGCACGTGAGCCCCATGCCCGCGCGTACCCCGCGCGCTCACTGCGCCTCTCTCTCAGCCGGACTCGCTCCTCACGGACGACCCGAGCGACGGCTTCCCGCACTGCGGCGGCCCCTGCCCGCACTGAGGCGGCCCTTGCTGCACTGCCCCGCGCTGCAGCTCCCCGTGCACCCACAGCTGCGCCCCGGAGCGCGCGGGACAATAAAGCGCCACATTAACACTCCAGGGCCCCGTGTGCCCTCGCAGGCCCGCTCGGCCCACGTGTGCATCCTGTTGTGCTGCAGCCCCAGCTACCCTCCCTGCCCCACGGGCCCACACGCCAAGCAGCCCCCCGCACCCCACTGGGCGCCCCGGCCTGCCCAGCAGCGTTTCCTGCTCCTGTTCCATGCTGCTGGAGCTGCTCTCCACCAAAGCGTGCCCCACACCCTCGCTTCCACCTGCAAGAGCTCAAACCCCTGCACCAATGCAGAGTCACCTGCCTCCAGTCAAGCTGTGGGACATGTCCCTGCCCTGCCTTTTCCCCCCATGAATGCCAGCCCTCCTTTGTGCTACCCAGGCAAGCCACCTCCCCACATTAGATATAACTTACAGTAGTTAGTCACCCCCTGAGCACCCTTCTGCTCCAGACATGCATCAGCCTTGCTGGACCGTGGCCATGAGGAGCACAGCCTGCTCTGACACCCACCCTGGCCCTCAAACTCAGGCTCGCAGACACCCCCCAGGCTCCTGGACATACACCCAAAGCCACCCCCGCTCGAGGAAAGGAAGGACGACAAGCACCACGTGGCAGCAAGCTGGTTAGTTGGTTACTGCACACCGCAGACTTTTATTGAGCCTTCAGACTACACAAGGACACTACACAAGGACATCGCTGGCCACATGCATGTACTACAGCAGTTTGTTACCTAGTAAGCAAGCACAGAGCAGCTACATTAATGCTAGTTGTCCAGGCAGCGGAGTCGAGAGCAAGGCATTTTGAAAGCCTGGCACATGGCACGAAGCAGAGGCAGTGAGACTGAAGGGACAGACCAGGGGCCAGCCCAGCACCCCACGGCGGCGGAGCATGAGGGACAAGAGCCGTGCAGACCTCGCTAAGGGTTGCCAGCACTTGCACACTGTATTACTACTCTTTCAGGCAGGAGCTTCCCTGGCACAGGGCCCTCGCGCCGCTCCCTTCCTCTGCCTTGCAGCACGCGGCTCCCGCTCCCCCCGCCACAGCCCCCTGCTCACAGGCCAGCCGAGCCAACCTCCACACCAATTCCCACAGCTTTGCAACTCCCCTGGCCCCCAAAAGCACAGCAGTCCTTAACCCACCACGCAGGCACCTGCACATCTTGCACGCTGAACCTCTCTCCTCAACCCCTTTGCAGTCCATTGCTCATTTCCGTGCCAGCTCGCTGCCATTACCAGCACAAGCTGGTGCAGGCTACCCCTGCCAGCACCAGCATGGGCCCTGTGCCAGGCTGAAAAGCAACTCCGGCCTCAGCCCCACTGCTCCTCTTGCCACCCTCACCCTGACTCAGCCATCACTTCACCTCTGCAATTGCCCTGCAATCCCTATGTCCATCCCTATGTCCTTCACCCTTTATCAGGCCTGTCTTTCCTGCTAAAAAGCCCACACTTTTTGCCACAGAGTCCCTCTGCTTCTCGGCCCGACACCCCAGCCCTCTGCTCCCTGTCCTCTCACAAGTGGCTGGCCGGGCAAGCTGGTACTAAACAAACACTCGTCCTTCAGAGACACTTCCTGACAACAGACCCAAGTTCTCAAACCCTCTTATCTACAAGGATGGCGCTACCAAGTCTCCTAGTTCCAAAATGCAGGGTTATCAAATCAACACATATATCTGTGTGGTCTCCTCCAGGGTCTCCTCCCTTCTGTCACTGCACATGTCCCACCTACAAGAGCTCTCTTCCTCTCCCCTTCTCTCAGCAAGCGGCCTGCGCTGCACCCTGCCCTCCTGCAACCAAGTCACACACAGAAACACCCAGTGGGACAACTTCTGCACCCTGGACACGCAAACCCCACACCCGACACCCTGGGCAGGCCTGGCCTTCCCTCCACACTCTCTGCAAACACATACCTGCTCAATTCTACCCCCTCAAACAAAGCTTTTCCTCCAACACCCTTTGGCCACATTGACATTTGGGAGAGTTGCTCCAATCCCCAAATGCACCTCCCACAACCCAGACCTCCACTCAGCCTTTGCACAGAGAGCTCAGCACTACCCATGAGACACCTCTGACAAGTAGGGATGGCTCCCCCATGTAAAGGGGATGCCCTAACGCTACCCGTCACCCTTGTCACCATCTGCAAATGGTGCAGCAGTGAAGGGAGGAGGAGAGGGGCAGCCAGCTCTCACATCTCCAAAGGCTGTTCCCACTGGGTCTGACTTTGAACCACCTCTGACTGCCCATGCAATGACAACACCTACCTGACCCACCACGCTTGGGGGCCAATGTGGGGCCCTTGCAGACCACATACTTCCCCCCACCCACAGGGAGCCTCTCCTAACCTCTCCTCCCAGAGCTATTTCCCACATATCCAAGCAAAGATGGGACCAACTAGGCTCTCTATCACCTGGATGTTGCTCCTGTTTTCACAGGGCCCACCTGAGTGCAGGTTGGCACAAGCTCTCAACGCTTTCTGCCCACCCGCCCTTTCATCCCTTCCCCAGTGTCCTGCCTATTCCTCAGCACTGTTTGGTGAACAACAACATGGCCCTGCAGCAAGGGGCAGAGCCTTCGTGTCCCAAAATAGCTCCGGATCCTTCACAGCTCCCCCAGAAGCTGATCTTCTCTCCATGACCTGCCTTCATCACTGTCCCATGTCCTGGGTGCTCTGGCATCACCACTAATCACCTCTTCCTCACCCAGAGGACAGGTGACAGTGCACAAAGCACTTCCCTTTCCAACCACTCACCTCAAACCCACAATCCTGGCTCTTCACCAGCCATTCCATCTACCTCAGGGCATATCTCAACATGTTAACGGCCAGCACCTCTGCTGACCCAGTGCTCTGTCACACACAGTGTCCCCCTAAGTCTCCCAGATGCTTCACTGTCCCCCATGATGCATCCACTGACACACTTCAGGGTCACACTTCCAGCCAGTGACCTGCCCCCTCACTGTCCCACTGTGCAGAATCAGACACCACAGTTCCCAAGGATGTCAGAGCAGCTGTGAGGCTAACACACCTTGTCACATCTTACACAGGAGTCCGGGTCACGCTCACCACGAGAGACTCAAGCTCCACTTGGCCACTTCTCTGCGTGCAGAGCAGAGGGCAGCAGCTCCTCACCACTAATACTGGCTCTCAATCTTCCCTACTCTTACAGAGGACTCCCCACAGCTCACACAAGGCCCCAAAGGAGCATCCGCCCTCTGTCCAGGCTGTCTTGGCAAAGCACCTCAGGAAAGGGATGGTGCCAGTGAGGGGAAAAATGAACACACGATCTACACACATACATAAGTGTGAAACACCCTTTAGTGGTAGACAGAGAGGAGCTGCCAGTGGAGCAGCCCAGCTCCACATACAAACTCTCACCATGCTGTCACCCAGAGTACCTGGCCCCTCACCGAATATGCACCATCTCCTCCAGGAAAGGGGTTTTCATGCAGCCTGTGCAGAGCTGATCCATCCAGAGAGGAGCTTCGTGCTGCAGAGGGGTGCGGCGGGGGTAGAAGGTGAAGTTCACGTCGTAGTTGAGCAGGCAGCTGATGGAGGCCATGTAGATATCAGAGAACCGCACCAGCCGTCGAGAGAAGTACGTGGGGTTGTGGAAGGTGCGGAAGATGCTTCCGAACTGGGGGTTGAACAGGTTCTTTGTCAGCGACCTGAGAAGAGAGTTGGTGCTCTGCTCACAGGGGGCATTCCCCACGCTTGATGCCTGCTCAGTACGACCCACTGCTCGCTCGGGCTGTAGCACCTTCCTGCACAGCACCAGGCACTCCTTGGCCTTGCAGGCTCAAGGGGGGCTCCCTCATGACATACTGCTCATCCAGACCAAGGCAGCAGGACAGCGGCCTCAGCGCCCGCAGCCCAGAACCTTTTGGGCTGCACAGGAGTCGAGTCAACTCGAATTAGCACTTCCTACATTTCCACCCCACCGAGAAACACATAGTCAGATATCACTGCAGGCACCCTCCCATCCAGGCTGCTGAGCCACGAGCCCATGACAAGTGCATGCAGGTTTTCACCATGCTCCTTGTTAACACACATGTTAAGAGTCAGAGAAGCACTTGCCAGGAGTACTGCTGCAGGGGCTGGCCCTGCAGACACCCCACCAACCCCTCCAGCACAAGCTGACACCACCTCCCCTCACCCAGCCTGCATCTGACCCATGCAACTCCCCAGCCTGGAGCTGCACTGCTGCTTCCATCCACAGACATGGAGCACCAAGGAAGACCACATGCCCACAGCTGCAGCACCACTTTCCTCAAAGCACAGATTGCCAATCAGATCCAGGACAGGCCTGGACATCCCAAGAGACCTCACCAGCCAGGAGGGCAATGTAGTCACCTAATCTCCTGACGCTCCTTCATCCACTCCAGCAATACCTGCTTTGACTCTGCGTCTTGATACATCTGCAAAGACAACAGCAGAACATGCATCTTATCAGTCCTGCAAACCACATCTCTGTTCCCCCCAGCCCCGCTTTAACTTGTGACCCCACATACCCACAGCCCTGTCTCCACTCGAGGAACATGAGATGCTCTTTGAGAACACAAGCAACATGGTACATGCTCTTATCCACAGGCTGAGCTCAGTTGGCAGCCTCAGAACAGGCACACTGCCCACCCGGCTCCGCCAGGACCCTCTTACCTGCATTCTCTCCAGCAGGCCCGTCAGAGCCTGCTGCCAGGTCAGGGAGTGCATGTACTGCTCCGTGTTTATGATGCGAATTTCCGTCTCCAGCTCAGGGACGATGGCTCCGGTCCTCCAGCCGTGACGCAACATGAGGTCCTGGAGGTCGGGGTGAGAAAACAACCACGAGTTCAATGTAAGGACTCCAGGCCAAGCACCACTGAATTTCCTAGAAGAGTGGTCTGTTCACATTACAGATTCTCAGGGGACAGGGATGCTAACGGCACATCCACGGTCAGGCTGATTACATCTACCTCACAGCC